TCGAATAGTTTATCTTATAGATATAGGCAAAAATTTGATTGCCAAAAAGAAACTACAAGTTGAATGATATGCTCATATAGGATTCCATTGCCATTCACAAGCCATGTATCCTAAACGTCTTCCAAAAAAAAATGCCTACATCAATGCATTCAAAAACCATCCCAAACTCTTTCGAGGTGAAGACCGGTGTCAGACAAGGTAGCTAACTCTCACCAACTCTCTTTCTCCTGGTGATCGACTGGATTATGAAGATGTCGACATCAGAAGGGAAGCACGGTATTCAGTGGACAGCTAGGACGCAGCTGAACGATCTGGACTTCGCAGATGACTTGGCTCTTCTATAGCACACTCAACAACAAATGCAAGAGAAGACAAACAGTATGGCAGCAGCCTCTGCAGCAGTAGGTCTCAACATACATAAAGGAAAAAGCGAAATTCTCCGATACAACACAACATGCACCAACCAAATCACTCTTGATGGAGATGCCTTGGAGGACATTAACACCTTTACATATCTGGGCAGCATCATCGACAACCAAGGTGGATCCGATGCAGATGTGAGGGCGCGGATTGGCAAAGTAAGGGCTGCATTTCTACAGTTGAAAAATATCTGGAACTCCAAACAACTTTCAACAAAAATCAAAATCAGGATTTTCAATACAAATGTCAAGACAGTTCCACTGTATGGAGCGGAAACTCGCAGAACTACGACAGCCATCATTCAGAAGATACAAGTGTTTGTTAACAGTTTTCTACGCAAAATACTTCGAATCCGTTAGCCAAACACCATTAGCAACAACGTACTGTGGAAGAGAGTAAACCAAATTCCAGCAGAGGAGGAAATCAGGAAGAAGCGGTGGAAGTGGGTAATACACACACTACGAAAAGCACCTAACTGTGTCACAAGACAAGCCCTCACTTGGAACCCTCAAGGCAAAAGGAAAAGAGGAACGCCAAGGAACACATTACGCCGAGAACTAGAGAAAGATGAGAAGAATGAACAAAAATTGGACAGCACTGGAAAGGGAAGCCCAGGACAGAGTTGGTTGGAGAAAACTGGTAGGCGGCCTATGCTCCATTCGAGGTAACAGGCGTAACTAATTAAGTAAGTAATTTCAGGAATATTTGCTTGCTGATTCCCTTGAGACAGAGTATAAAACTGATCATTGGGATCAGCCAAAGGAGAATATTTAGCTTAGGAAATATTGAATAAAAAGCAACATAGAAAATTTAATTTTCCTCAGCAAAATATATTGGTGAATACCATGCAGTTTGGGGAGTAATCAAGTCACAGAATGAATAACAACTTACAGCTTTCACCCAGTATTCTCCAACCTACTCTATCCTGGGTTTCCCTTTCCTATTCTATCCAATGTTTGTTCATTCTTTTCATGTCTGCTTCCATTTCGCAGCTTAGTATGTTCCTTAGCCTTCCTCTTTTTCTTTAACCTTCAGGGTTCTAAGTGAGGGCTTGTCTTGTGATGCAGTCGGGTGCTTTCCGCAATGTGTGTCCTATCCACTTTCAGAGTTTCTTCCTCCGCTGGAATCTGGCTTGTTCGATTTCCCATTTGAGGTTGTTACTAATAACGTCTGGCCAACGAAGAAATTTACCGTAGACAACTGCTAATAAACACTCGTATCTTCTGGATGATCATTGTGGTAGTTCTCCAAGTTTCCGCTCCCTACAGTAGAACTATTCTGACATTTGAATTGAAAATTCTGATGAAAGTTGTTTTGATTTCCATAAGTTCTTCAGTTGTAAACATACTGTCTTTGCTTTTCCGATCCGCGCCTTCATATCTGCATCAGATTCACCGCGCTCGTCAACGATGCTGCCCAGATATGTAAAGGTTTGTACATCCTCCTGAGCTTCTCCGTCAACTGCGATTCGGATGATGTATGTTGTGTTGGATCGAAGAATCTTGCTTTACCTATTGTGCATGTTGGGACGTACTGCTACAGAGGCTGCGGCTACATTGGTCGTCTTCTCTGGTATTTACTGCTGCACGTGGTATATAACAAACAGATCATCTGCGAAGTTCAAATCATCTAGCTGCATCCCGTCTGTTCACTATATCCCATGCTTCTCTCCAGATGTTGACATTTTCACAATCCAGTCGACCACCAGGAGAAAGAGAAAAGGAGAGTAAGCAACCACGACTAGTACAAGACTTCAATTTTGACGAGTTTGTGAACTGTCCTACATGCACACTTCTGCCGTGTAGTACATCGTCATATGAATTCCGTATGATACCGACTATCTTTACAGGTATGTCATGGTGTTGAAAAAGCCTCTGTTGTATAATCCTATTCGCACTTTCCAGTGCTTCTACAAAGTCAGTAAAGTTGGTGAACAGTAGTGAATTCCATTCAATTGTCTGTTCCACAATAATCTGCAATGTTTCAATTTGGTCGGTTTAACAACAGGCTGCAGTAGACGTTTACTGGTATCGAGAGCAGAATAAAGCTTCTGTAGTGCTCACACTTGCTGAGACCAACTTTCTTTGGTATCTTGATCAAGTGTCCTTATTTTCAGTCCGTTGGGACTTATTCTTCATCCTTATTGAAGACTTATTGAAGAGAATGTGGAGTATCTTTGCAGCTACTGCTATATCTGATTACTGTGCTTCAGCTGGTCTTGCTGTTTTACCGTTCACATTTAGTATACTACAAAACCCGAAGGTTTCCATGTGACGATAAGTTAGTTAGTCATATGAATTAATATCAATAATACTGAAATGAAAATTGTGTAGAATAATAAAATTACCATATTTAAACCTTGATTGATTTGTGAAAGAAACGGTGAAATTTTATGCAATTTGACAAAAGATGTGGGAGATTTAAAACAGATAAGTATCGAATGATTTTTTTCATCTGAATTTCAAGATAAAATGAATCAGTTTTCATAACTGACTTGAAATTGCTACATTCAATAACTTAGTTATTTATCAAAGATTACTACTTAGTATCCTCAATAATATTCCATATCATCAATTTATTTGAGTCATTATTTCCAATCTTAATGATAGGTGTTGGTCGTGCTAACAAGCTGTTCTCTGTTTCAAATATTTTCATGATCCATACATAGACAGAAAAATCGAATATGTCCATTTGTCCCGATCCGACAGTCAGCACAAAGTAGAACTTCGACTGAACATCAGTTGAAGTAGCCATACAGAATTGGAAAAAAGATGGAATCGTCGGTTCAAATCTAACTGTGATAGAGGTAATAGAAGTATTATTGCGGTTATGGAGAAGATTGAGAACCCGAAGTTATATTTCGAAAAGTATATTCCAGTGAAATAAATTTAAAAAGAGAAAGATAAAGTAGATGAGGAGTGCATAAGGTTAAAATTTGAGAGAATACAAAGAGAGTGGATTCTCCTCCAATCGATTTTGAGCAAAGTCTTTAACCAGGTAGCCTACATCTACCAACATGACTCAGTCTACTTGTCAGTGACTTCATGGATTTCTGCCATGTTTTGGTTTGGCTGTTCATAGCTCTCTTTCAACCTACCCCTACACCAAAAAACATAGCTCGTCGAGGCAGTCCATGGTCGGGCATTCGTAAAACGCCCCAAATATCTCAAATGATGAAGATGCTGCAATTCATCAATCGATTTGCCATGCTTACCTAGTATCCTTTTTTTAACAACAACATTGCTTACTCGGTGGTCCCATGATACACCAGCAACGCTTCGGAGACACCCATGATCGAAAACCAGCAACTTACCAATATCGTCTACTCTTATTGGCCATGTTTCGTAGCCGTAAAGTAAAACGGAACGAACCGCCAAGAAGTTAATCTATCCTTTGCTTGTTAGATGAGTATCTCGCCTACAACATAAATGACGCACTTCGGCAAAAGCCAGTCGCGTTTTCAATATCCATCCTGAGATCTCGTTAGTCACCAGGCCATCAGCACTGATTAGACTCTCCAGATAAATGAAGTAGTCAACACGTTCGGCTACTTCACTACCTATCACTAGTTCAGGTGCCGAGGAAACCCAATCTTGAAGCAATATTTTGCATTTCGACGGGGAAAACCGCATCCCGAACATGCTTGCATTGTTGCTTAGGATGGTCAGAAGACTCTTCATTTTGTCAGCGTCTTCACCAAGTAGGACTATGTCATCGGAATATTCTAAGTCGATAAGCGAGCCTCCCGGTACAAGGTTCACCCCTGAAAATTCAGACTAAGATAATGTTATGTCTAGGAGCATGTTTATGACAAAATTGAACACGAACAAAAAGAGTGCATAACCCTGATGGAAATCACTTGATGTAGATAATTCCGATGACAGTTCGCCATAAGCTCTAACTCGACTAGTAGTGTTCGAGTAGAGAGCTTTTAGAAGGTTAGTGTAATTCTTTGATACACCTTTCAATGACAGACACTGCCACAGAACCTCACGATCCACTGAGTCAAATGCCGCTTTAAGGTCCAGGAAAACAACTATTGTAGCACGCCTAAATGTGTGTCTGTGTTGCAGAACCTGTCGTAGTGAGAAAATGTGGTCTATACAGCAACGTCCGGGTCTGAAACCAGCCTGGTTGTCTCAAGTCTACTCTTCACGAGCTTTCGCTTGGCGTGGGAATATTATTGAGGCCAAAATTTTAGATACCACATTATTTAGAGTTATTCCTCTGTGATTGACACAAGAGGACTTTTTTCCTTTCTTATAAATTGGGACAGTAAGGAATTGAGACCAGTCGGATAGGATTATGCACAGTTCCCACATTCTACCTAGGATTTCAGTCAAACGTACTGCCAAAACTGGACCACTATCAGGGGTTAACCTATCAGAGCCCGCTGCTCTCACACACTTCATACATACGTACAAAGTTCGACCTTGTAACTAAGTGAGTGACTGTGATATATATATTCAACATGGAACAAAGAGCGCTTCACTGCTATGAAAGACCAGCTAATAATATTTACTTATCCCTCATGAAATAAGTTCATCATCATCATCAGTATGAGTTATGCAATATGAAATAGTCAACCAAAATAATTCAAATTATATTTACACACACAGACACACGCACACACACTGCACACACATAGATATATGAAAATATACATGTTCTGCTTTGAACATCATCAGCAGTAATCTTTGTGTACATTCGAATTAACAATACAATCATCAACATCATCATCATCAACATCAACATCATCAACATTATCAATAGTTTCATTGATGTGATTAGATGATGGTTTACAAATTACATCAAAATATAATTCAATTTGTTGATCTAGACCTAAATAAGTATCAGACATTAAGTATAATGTTAATTGATAACGTTGTCTATTAGTAGCTTCAAGATAATGATCAGTAGACGCATAAGTATTGTGTATTAATGATGATGATGATGATGATGCTGTTATCGGAGGTGGGAATTTTACCATTAAATTGATAAAATGTTTTCGACTAATTTTCATTGAATTCATTTTATCTTTTTTCAACAATGTCATTGATTGTGGTGGTACACGTTTCAATGTGATTAATTCACCGCCATGATTTTTATTGACTTCACAATTGCCCAATAGAAGAAACCAACCTTCGTAGGATTTTGATTTGATTAAAGGTCCAGTCATAACTGGCTAATAGTAAAACATGAGAAATCGATAACATGAATTTTTTTTTAAAAACAATAAAAAAAAAGTGATGTAAAACTATTTGAAACCATGAATCGATCAATGTTAGACCAACATTAGAAACCTTGAAGCACTGGATGGCAGTGTCGTTCTGGTGTGGGACTCCTCAGCAGTGCTCATCAACGACTCCTGCACCCCGCAGGATTCGAACCCAGGACCTTCGGTATTGTAGGCGAACGCGTAACCATCGTAATGCAAATTACCTGTGCTCACTAGTGACTAGCTTCGTGAGGGATCTCCGAGTTTTAGTGGGAGGACGTGACCAGTGAAGTTCAACCTGTTCGGGTGTGAAGCAGTGCTCACCGAAGACTGTGTATGAGGTTGCGCAACTGTGTGAATTGATCAAGTTAGACATTAACACCGTTAGATACCGGCTCAGTGGTCCGATGGTTAGGCGTTCGCCTACAATACCGAAGGTCCTGGGTTCGAATCCTGCGGGGTGCAGGAGTCGTGGATGCGCACTGCTGAGGAGTCCCACACCAGAACGAAACTGCCATCCAGTGTTTCAAGGTTTCTAATGTTGGTCAAACATTGATCGATTCATGGTTTCAAATAAAAGTTAACAATCTTGACAACAATCGCATGATGCAAAACTAGACAATAATTAAATATTTTGAAAGCGCTGAAAACCGGTTTCATTCTAGTTTAGGATTTCTTAGTAGTGAGCAACCTCTCTTTACAACATCGTATGGAAAAGTTAACATCTTTGAATACTGATTCAATTAGTCTAGAGAGAATAGGTGTTTGCATGCAAGATCGAAGTTACTAGATTCCATTTCCATAGGCTGGGTAGCCGCCAGTGGACACTGGTAAGGAGTTCGAAACTAACAAAGAATGACCTTCATCTACTTGCAGGTTTTTTGAACAATGTTCTAACTAAAATATTAGTTCGTGATTCAAACTATGCAGATCCTACAATCTTCAAAATAATATAATGCCAAGAAAATAATTAATTGATTTATGTGTTGTGTGAAGATTAACGTATGAAGAAAGTATTAGGCAACTTCGTTTGTATTCGTATATAAATAAAGTGTGTTGAAGTAGTTGATAATGTCTATGCATTTAGTGGCTCGAATCAGATCGGCGTCAAGATGGAGGGCACAAAAATGCGTAATGAAATGATTGGGGAACGAAACAATAGAAACTGTCATGAACCCCAGAGAACAAGTGAAGAAAAGAGGGTAAACTGCTTCTCAATACCCAGTTACAGACAAGAGAGAGGAGAGCCCGCTCTACCTCTCTAAATGCACTTACATAGCTATGTGTATATAACCACTGCAGTGAAAGTAACACTCACTACCTTCTCGTGGCATGGGTGTTGATTTTCAAATTGAGATTAGGCAAAGCGCCTAAACCTAATCAGTGGGAACGGGGAACACACTTCGAGGAAGTTGGGAAACGATGATTTCAAACCAATGGTGCACTTGAGTTTCAGGATGTTAAAGGACCAAACAGTGAATGAACTTATTTTTGGTCACCAGCTACCATCGCAACGCTTCTGCTAATGTTACTTCATTACCATGTGATTTAAACATGTATATCAAAGGTCATAGAGTTGCTTGCACCACAAAGAAAACCACTTGCTTCGATGTGGGCAGTCTGTCAGAATTCCACGCGTCACATATTCAATAATTTATGTAGCGCATAAACATTCAGGTATCCCTTTGTTTTAATGATTATGTGTTTAAATAAATTTAAATAAATAAAACCTCACTATTCACTACGGTCACTACCCAGATCTACCATCCACCACTCCTGTTACTCGCAGCAACTGAACCCAGGGCTTCAGCCTTGCGCGCGAATGCCTAACCTCCGGATTACTGAGCCACAACCTCACCCACTTGTCTTCGGTAGTTACTACCGACACCCAACAAGGTTGAAGTCTATTGTTCACGTCTTCTCACTAGAACTCTGAGAATTTATTCATGAAGCTTATTACTATGGAGCACATTGTATGAGTTAGGAAGATTGGTGTATATAACTGAAATGTGTTACAATCATTGTCCGACCATGATTCATACAACGCTCATTCATTAGTGGTACAATTATAAAAAAAATATAATTCAACACGTTTTACACTTGAAGAGTTGTTCTTCAGAAGAGCTGGCTCAATATGTGTACTGACGAAAGAAATAAGGTCACCTTAATACTATCACAGATTTAAAAAAAAAAAACGCAATCCACCAAACTTATTCAATTATTCTAATTTTAAACTACTTTCAAAAGTAGAAAAAAAATAATTAATACAGTAGAAAGAGATTATAAAAAAAATTAATTACCTTATTTCCATTGATATGATCAATTGAAGAACGTATTAATTGTATACGAAGAAGATATTCTGTTTCAGCATATACATCCAAACAATTTGAACTATGTCCAGTGTTATTTATTGTAAATACTCGAATCGATTGAGATGGTTTAATTGATGATGACAATGAGACAGATGGATCAGGACCAACTAAACATGAGCGTATTTCAATAATCGGTAGACGTCGAATCGTCTGCAAGCAAGTATATACACAAATTGGATTATACTATTATCAACATGAACTGAACTAACATAATCACTAGTGAAGAATGAAACTTGTGTTATCATGTGTAAATAATGCAATGTAAAAGTATTGGACAGGAATAAGTTAATCACAATAATAATAATAATAATAATAATAATAATAATAATAATAATAATAATAATAAGTAGATTTGAGGAGAGAAGTATAAAGATGATGAGGAATGTCTGTAACAAGATGGCTTACAACATTTGAATAATAATCGTCGTTGATGAAAGTTTTGAAGTATTAAAAAAAAACACATTTCCAATTGACAGATACACATATTACGAATCGAATAAATTTCAACTAAGAGAGAGAGAGAGTCAGTCAGCCAGTCAACAACAACAACTACGTACGTACGTACATCAATTGAAGTTGCTATACCACATCAGCACAGAAATACAAATTTAAGAAGAAAAAGATAAGGTGATGAGGAATTCAGAAGATTAGGACTTGACAGAATACAATGAATGAATTCACCTGTGCCACTGCAAACGGTTTTGAACCATGTCATTCAGGGTCTTTAACGACCAATTGCTATCATCTCGCGAACTCCAACCAGTTAGTGGATACCTACCAACATGACTCAGTCCAGTTGCCAGTGACTTCATAGATTTCTGCCGTGTTTTGGTCTGGCCGCCCCTAACTTTCTTCTAGCCTATTCCTACATCGCAAAGCATAGCTCATCGAGGCAGTCGGTGGTTGGGCATTTGTAACACATATCCCAATCACCTCAACGTTGCCTACTCGGTTGACCCCGGATACACGAGCAATTCTTCAGGGACACCTATTGATCGAAAACCAGTAACCTACGAATTTCTTCTACTCTGACTGGTCATGTTTCGCAGCCATAAAGTAGGACGAAGCAAACTGATACGCAGTACACTCACTCGTACTTTGGTTCAATGTAAAGTACTTAAAGAAGCTAACATTAAAATTAAATCAAAAAATTTATATACCTGCTTAACAAGATTGATCACACGTGATTCAACATGACCTTGTAGCATGGAATCCAATAGATTAGGTGAATCAGATATAATTTGAATGAGTTCAGGTAATGAACTGATATTTTTACAATCAGCATATCTATAAAAGTGGTTCATTATGTAGGAGAGTAAAAATAAAAGTGAAAGAGAAGGCTCAAAATAAATTACTTTGTTGTACCATTCATTAATCATAAAATTAATTAAACAGAATTTAAAATGAGCAGTTATTTTAAAAAAAGCAATTTACATTACAAATAAACAACACTAGTTCAAAAACTAACAATGACCATTGAATATGCATCCCGGTGTTGTGCTTCAGTGAATTACTTCAGTAGTTCAAATACACACATAACCTCATTATGAACTTTAAGTTTATCAATAGTCGTCAATTCAAACAATTCATAAAATATAACCTCACTATTATCTTATTTGCATTACAGGGTTGTGAAGATTGTTAAGTCCTGATATGGGACTCCTCAGCAGTGCGCATCCACTGTGTATAAAGTTGCGCAACTCCGTGAATTTGATCAAGTTAGACATTAACACCGTTAAGGAACCGGTTCAGTGGTCTAACGCTTAGGGCGTTCGCGCACAGTACCGAAGGTCCTGGGTTCGAATCCTGCGAGGTGCAGGAGTCGTGGATACGGAGGAGTCCCATATCAGGGCGAAACGGCCGTCCAGTGCTTCCAGGTTTCTAATGGTGGTCTAACATTGATCGATTCATGGTTTCAAAAATGTATTATCTTAATTGACTAATAATAATTATTACAATTTAGTTATGTTTCTATCATATAAACAGAATACTCAATGAATCAATCATTTAGAGGTTGCGCGAATTAAAGTATCTCAGTGGATAGAAACTGTGGTAAATTGTAGTAGAAAATTTAGATTACAATACTAATCTGAAAACACTCATACTGGGGATACCAGTACATTCATCTGATGACAAGTCCTAAATTACATTTTATATCACATAATAATCTATCTATCTTAGAAAATATTACGGGTGCACTTCCTTGGGCACTATTACTTCCCATTCGTTATTGAGTAGTCAATTTCAAGGTTAGAGAATGATGAATACAGAGAGATAATTTCACTATGTAAAGATGTCAAGGTTCTGATAACAATCTTTGACGGGGTATTAAGTGTACATGGCTGACTAATCAAAGATTAGAACAGAAAAGAAACATTCATTATTCTCTCGCGAATGGTTAAGAATTCAATGTCAGACTAGGAATAAAACTGTCTTTCGAACGATATAGTGGTTTAAAAGTTAAGCAAACTAGAGGTCTCGACTTGGATCACAAGTATGATGTGAGTGCTCATCGTTGAAAATTCTCATTTTAGGATGAGGCGAATAGCCAGTACCTTTTGTTCTTCAATGTATATTTCAGATCTGCTCGTAATGTAAGTATGCTTATTAATAAACATTATCGATCGGCAAAATCATTTTAACTGTTAATAAAGATGAATGGACCTAACAGTGAATCAAATAATGTGGGGTTTGTCCTATTTGAGACTCGTTAGTTGGATGTAATTACATTCGAGATTTAATGTACACTCCGGAACTCGAACTTAGTACCGTTCGCCACAAACGGCATCATGTTATCCAGTTAGATACTGACTGAGTGGTCCAGCTAGCCACTGTGTTGTTCAATAAAGTGAAGTCCTATCGTTCAATTCTATTGGTTGCTCGAATCTTCTTCCTAAAGATGTTTTAGACTACAACTTCTTCAATTTCTTCGGCATATGTGCATGAACCGGTGACTGCTCCGATATTAACATCACTTCACAATCAAACACAGATGGTGACCAGGAATCATAATCATTTCGGTTGAAAAATATTCACTAGTTAATCTAGTGAATTAATATATCCTACCTAGTAGTATTGAGTATAACCTCAACCGCTAAACTGACAATCGCAAAATATACAAGCAGTGGTTCAAAGAAACCTGTGGTGAAATGGCAAGTTTTAAAAAAGCCACACAAAAAAACTCCGCCTGGAACCGCTCTGTGGCTATTGACAGTCCAAAGCCCAGATAAAAGAGGAAGGTTGAGCATAAGGTTAGTGACTCCATCATCTCATTGAAAACTAACTCGCTAAAAAACGCTCACCGAAATAAATAATTCAAACCATTTAAACTCTACTCTAAGAAATTAGAAGGTCTTCCTTCAGAAGAGTTATGACGTTTCATAATGAAAGCCAAATTCCTTCGGAGGTCATGAGGCTGATGGCTCCTCTTGGACAATCAGAGCAACCATTAATTTCGGTACATGGAACATTCGTAAAAATGAACAGATATACAATAAATTATCAAAAAGTCTTTTGTATATAAGCCAACAAAATAAAACATCCAGTTGATTGCTAAAAGATTTTTGAATTATTGTAGAAAAAAATAAATAAATGTTGGTAATAATCTGCTTACCTGAAATAATCCAAATGTTCACTGGTTATTTTTGGTAATTGTAAAATACTACTAGCGTATTCTTCAACCCATAAGCCCTGTGTAATCATTTGCATTAAAATGATACAATTTAGACATGTACGAAGCCAACCACATTCAGCGCTAACATCTAACATGGCCTATAAATTGTTCCGTATAAAACAAATAAAAAATTTATACAGACATATTGAAATAAATATCACATAATGTTTAGAGAATATCCACATCAAAAAGGTGTTGTTGTGGAAATCATTGGATTTGGGGTTTTTCATTACACCACCATCTCATTGCAAATCACTTTTTTTCATATTTAAACAAAGAAAATTAGAAAGTATGAAACAGCTGTTACATAGTGTCAGTGTACCATTACGACTAACTCCGCCTGAAACCCCTCTGGAATTACTGCGGATCCCAAGCCCGGAAAAAGGAGAGGGTTGGGCGTGAGGCTGGTGACCTCATCCAGTGAAAATCCAACTCGATAAAAAAAACGCCAACCAGGAAAAATAAATTGCTGGTCTACGGCCTATGATCCATTAAGGGTAACAAGCATAGGTAAGTAAGTAAGTAATTACGGCGACAACCGAGTAAGCGATGGTGTCGTTAAGAAACGGGACCAGGGTCAGGGCGGCAGATCAATAGATGAAGTATTAGAACTTAGTCAGTTCAGGTGGTTGGGACATGTAATTGTGCATGCCTAACCATCAACTGCCTCGTCGAGCTATGCTTTGCGATGTAGGAATAGGTTGGAAGAAAAGTAGGGGCGGTCAGACCAAAACATGGGACAAATCCGTGAAGTCACTGACAAGTAGACTGAGTGATGTTGGTAGGTGTCGACTACTTCGTTGGGGCCCTCGGGATGATCATAATCGATGGTTATCGACCTTGAATGACATAGCTCAAAACAGCTTGTAATGGCGCAGGTGCATTGATTCTTTGTGTTCTGTCAAATTCTAACCTAAGGAGTTTCTCATCACCTTTATCTTATTCTTTTAAGTTTCTGTCACTAAATTCTACTTCTTGAATAATATCGTTGAACCTTAATCTCTCCGATTACTGGAAATACTTCTACTACCTCTACTACTATGGGATTTGAATTGACAATTGAATCTCTATGCTAATATGGTATGGCGACTTGAACTGATGTACGTACGTACGAAGTTCTACGTTTTTGTTGACTGACTGACCACGACCACCGAGAGAATCAAATCATTGTGGAGAGGGGTTAGAAAAGGTCGATCGTGAAAATGTCACACCTTACCTCACGGATTTCCACCCCAGTTAGTAAGGCTTTTGAAGAGCAAAGACCGTGTGTGACCAGCCTGAAGCAGTTGTCCATCGGGCTCTGCCGTCTAGCTCCCAGGTCTATAAGACCAATACTAAGCTAACTTCCTTTTCAGGTCCTTCAAGTTACACACTTCCACGGTGTGGGCAGCCGGGAGGTGACATCCGCCATCATACCCGTAGAAGCACGCGAGACCAAATTGATCACAAATAAATCATTTTTACCAGGTCGGTGGCGGCCGAACAAACAAGTATGGGTCTATGAGTTATGTAGGGGGGCTGGTATTAATTAGTAAAGCATATCTGTAGTCTCTAAACAACTGATTTGCTAATACAGCATTCAAAAGAAAAAAGTGTCCTCGATAATCCCGTTGCATCAAACACAATGAAAATAAACTCACTTGTAATATACGAATAGCTTGATCTAAAACTGATTGTGTATCTGTACGATAGTCAATAATTGGCAATTCTTGAATACGAGAAAAATGCGCTTGAAATAATAAATGTGTTTTTGTATGCGGAGAATCCATTGGACCGATAGGTGGTAAAGGTAATTCATCCGCTAATAGTTTATTCATTTCATCTTCATTATGTCGAACAGGTAAGAGAAAGTATTCATGTGCACTCTTTTTGAGAAATAACAATAGAATATTGAATGAGAAAATGTTTATATACATATATATATATATACTACTAAAAGAAACGTCTTATTAGAGAATCAGAGAGTCATCAACATGCTGCCACTCGCTTGTTCCTAAAATCTTTACAAGCTTGATATTGAGTAACGAAAATCAAACAGAGATAAAGTATATTTATCAAGTTCAATGTGGTTTTAGTCATCTAGAAACTTCTGCAAACACATAATAATCGATGGCTAGAGACCTTGAATGACATGGCTCAAAATCGTTCGCAATGGCGCCAGTGCATTTATTCTTTGTGTTGTCTCAAATCCTAATCTTCTGGATTCTTCAACACCTCTAGTTTTTACTTTCTAAACTTATCTCATTGAATCATACTTCTTGAATAATATCTTCTAATTCTAACCTCTCCGATTACTTCTAATACCCTTACTAACTCTTCCAATATTGAATTTGAATTGACAATTATATCTCTGTGCTGATGTGGTATGGCGACATGAACTGATGTACTTACGTACGAAGTTCTACGTTGCAACTGACTGACTGACTTCTGCAAACACAATAGAAAGTGAACAGAATACCACACTTTCTTCAAATGTTGCCGAGTAGCCTCTGTTTAACACTGGTTAGATGTTAGATATTTCTAGCTTTTAACAACATTCACTACACAGAGACGATGCCAATGGATATATATGATGATGATGGGGTTTTCAACATTGTGATGAAAAAGTCAAGTCATACTACTGATGGAAATATTTCTCGCTTTAAGTTGCGAATATAATATGAAGGTTGATTAGAGAATGATAAGACTAAATAATATAATATGTAACAAGCTTTAAAGTTGACGGGACACAGCTAATTTTATATTAATGTGTAGATATAATACAGTGTTCCCCTCTAACAATCAATATCTACAGTGGTAATGCTGTCTAAAAATATTAAAGAGATGTTTGAAGAGAAGAAGACCATGAAGACAGTAGTACATCTTCTGCTTCATTACTAGGCTTCATCGTTGTCAGAAAATTTTTTAAAAAAAATACAGAGCTAATAAATTGAAATTCACCATAAAACGATCATATGTAACTAACTGACAAGCGATTGTCTGAGTCAGCTAAGTGATCACGTTTTTGCAAAGAGCTGTCAAGATTACAACTATTCCAAATATGTTTAAACATTCGTCATGAAGTGTGCTGCCACTTTTTCCAGCAATCAAAATCGGTATTTCATCATTGATTTTTATATGAAATAGCCAACAATTAAGTCTCAAATCAACACAATAAAAAGATGAAATGCATAAGGAGATAAGAAGGGAAGAATTAAAATTGGAGATTGAAACAAGTTTTTGAAATTGATAATGATTTCGGTGATAGTTTTTTAGTTGGGTCTCTACTGAACTGTATTGAACTGTATAAACGAATAAGATTTCTTTTATTCTGAACAGGAACTAATATGAAATCAATAGTAAGGCCATCGACATTCACTGACAACACATAACAACATTATTATTGCTATAATTCAATGAGAGAAGATGAAACTTTGAAGATAGCTTCAAGTGATCTCCTGAATTGAATAAAACCATACTACAGTACGGAGGTTTCCCCCACATAATAATACTCATTGTTCCCAGTAATGAAAATCGGGGTATTTATGTTCTAGGTGAAAGAAAAATAAGATCGCCTGGAGCCTTTCTCGGGCTACTGCTAATCCAAAGCTCGGATAAAGGAGGACGGCTTGACGTCGGGGTTAGCACCTCCATCCTGTAGAAAATTAACCCGCTAAAAAAATGCTAACCAGAAGAAATAATTCAAACCATTTAAACTGTACCCTGGAAGTTATAGGTCTTCATTTAGATAAGTTACGATGTTGCATGATAAGAACCGAGTTCCTACGCAGAGTTCCTTCTGAACACAGACATGCGAAGAATGAACAGAATAGAACTGGAAACCAGAAGCCAGGATATAGTAGCTTTGAGAAGAATGCTGATCGGTGGCCTATATACTCCCATTGGGGCTAACAGATGTAAGTAAGTATCCTCTGGAAATAAGACCAACAATAAAAATGCACAAACACACTTACTGATAATATTCTCAATAAATCATGTATACTTGATGTGGACTGAAGTGTTGTAGTAAATAATTTCATTGTTAAATGTGACAAATAATAATACGATGCCAAACGACCAAGTGTAGTTGGCATCAATACATATTGATTGTGTTCAGTTCGATTATATTGTAAACATGAAGAATCTTGTAATTGATCACATGCATTTGTAATAAGACCGGATAGGAAACTATTCACTGATTGTGTTTCACAACTTTCTAAACCATAATAACTAAAAATTAAAAAAAAATATTTTCCGAATAAAAATAAGACAAAACTTAATTAAATCTTAGATGATTTTGTTAAGATTATTTTGAGTAGTGTGAAAAAATCTAGTTTATTTTCAACATGAACATTAACACAAGGTAACACACACAAGTTTAGTAATCCTACTTTGAGTTACTAACGGCTGTTACGCCAAATGATGAGCATAGGCCACTGACTAGCAATTTATTTTTCTGATTAGTGTTTCTTTTAGTGAGTTGGATTTCTACGGGATATGGTAGCTAACTACATGACCAACCCTCATCCTTTATCTCGATCTGGGAATGGCAGTAACCCTAGAAGGGCTCTAAGAGGAGTTAGTTCGGATATCTATGCACAGCATGAACAGACCAATTCAACCTATAGTGCTTACATAACTGTCAAATTCATTATTATTAGCAATGATGATATGTAACACAGTGCGTCCCAATGACAATGGCCCTCGGGAATGTTGCAAAACAACCACCAGCAGTCATCAATGAAATCGGTCACCCTGCTATAACCACATTTGTATATGGACTATTGTTGGCAAAACTTGCTAAATTAATGCTAAACTATCCGTAATGTCCACAACGAACATCTGGTTTCATACAAAAAAAACCATCAGCTCTACACATAACAATAGAGCTTATGGTATTATATACATAGTATGACATTAGATAACAAGCAATGCAGCCTAGATATATGTAAATGAGCTCAAATAGTCTTATAACTCACATTTCACATGTCAGATAATGATTTTGTTTCACATTTTTTAAACCATGAATCGATCAATGTTAGACCACCATTAGAAACCTGGAAGCACTGGACGGCCGTTTCGTCCTGTTATGGGACTCCTCAGCAGTGCGCATCCACGACTCCTGCAACTCGTAGGATTCGAACCCAGGACCTTCGGTATTGTAGGCAAACGCCTAACCTGCGGGGTGCAGGAGTCGTGGATGCGCACTGCTGAGGAGTCCCATACTAGGACGAAACGGCCGTCCAGTGCTTCCAGGTTTCTAATGGTGGTCTAACATTGATCGATTCATGGTTTCAAAAATGTGTAACTTAACAATCTTCACAACCCCGTAATGCAAATGATTTTGTTTGTTTGGTGTTTTTGAAAAAGTGAAATTTTACCCAGAAAAAAACCGAAAAAAAAAACACTAAACTAACAACAAGAAACAACAACATACCATGGATTTGAATATAAACGTCGAAAAAAAAATGTCCATGTTAAATAATCTAAAGCTTCTTGCATAGTTGTGATTGTACCAGCTACAATTTCCGCATTTAAATGATCCGGTAGTACTTGTAGTAAATAACTTTCCACTGGGAATGGTTCATAAAGAAATCGTTTATAAAATGTTTTCTTTGAATTTTCCACCATAATTACAGCTTTGCCTTGATTATCAAATTGTGGACGTCCAGCACGTCCCATCATTTGTAGAACATCTGAAAATAATAATAATAATAATAATAATAATAATAATAATCATAGTATTTAAGATAGCAACTCACAGACAGTGTCATTGGCATAGTAACATTGTATGTGTATCAATAAACTTTTATTATTGTTGCGTTTGCATGAACAGGCACAAGTGAGCATTGCTTACCGCCAACACACACACACACATTCATTCTACTCGTTTTAATGTTAGCGGCCTAAATAATCCGAGGACTCATACATTTTCCTACGTATATATAAATGTACATTTTAAGCCTACTCATTGACCGGCCCTCTCGCTCTTCGGTACCTGCACATCAATTTTTGGGTTTGAGTGCCAGTAGTATTATGATCTGTGTGTGGTGTGATAATAAACGTTATCAATGCTTCGTATTCATCTTCTGATTTAAACACCGTTGGGTGTTATCTAATAACGGTTGTCGGGACAGGCTTTATACGAAGTCTAGGAGTATATCAAAAACCGACCGCGCACATCCACCACAATAATTCATGAAGAAATTGTGTATGGTGAAAAAATCAATTCATTCATGACTACTTAATCAATCAATCAACAGTAACGTAAAACTACGTACGTACGTATATCAGTTCAAGTTGCCATAGATGCATTTGTCAATTCAAATCCCATAGTAGTAGAGGTAGTAAAAGTATTAGCAGTATTCGGAAATTTTAGGGTTCTACGATATTATTCAAGAAGTACAATTTAGTTAAAAAAAAACTTAAAAGAATAAGATAAAGGTGATGAGAAACTCCGGAGGTTAGAATTTGACAGAACACAAAGAATGGATTCCCCTGCACCGCTGCAAACGGTTTTGAGCCATGTCATCCAGAATCTCTAACCATCGATTACTATCATCTCGTGGACCCCAACCAGGTAGTCGAAACTTACGAACACCATTCAGTCCATTTGTCAGTGACCTCATGGAATTCTGTCTCCAGCTTTCTTCCAACCTATTCCTACATCGAAAAACAGCTCAACGAGGCAGTCGGTGGTTAGGCATACGCAACACATGTCCCAACCACCTCAACATACGAGGTTTCAATACTTCAACAATTGACCTGCCATCCTTACCTAGCACCGGTTTCCTAATAACAGCATTGCTTACTCGGTTGTCCCAGGATACACGAGCAATGCTTCGGAGACACCTATGATCGAAAACAAGCAACCGACAAATATTTTCTATTCTGACTGGTCATGTTTCACATCCATATACTAGGACGGAGAGAACTGCTTCGCTATACACTCGTCGTTTGGTTAGCGAACAGACATCTCATCTACGCCATAAGTGACTACCTTATACCATTAAGTGATAAAACGTAGTCAATTAAATAAAAACAACAAACAAAGTTTCATCTAAGGTTATATGTACTAGTTGACACTACTCATCAACAAAACATACCAGTAATCTGGAAAGAAACTCACAACCTCCTCCCTGCGACATTAGAATTTCAATGGATAGATTCTATAACTAATAATATTTTTCCACTAAGCTATCCAACTATGTATAGCTTCCTGGTCGAGTTCAGAAATTTACAACTGATTAGTCACTCAGTAGTAGTACCAACTAACCAATGTAAAATGACTGTCTATTCCTTTAGTACTAGTCGAATACACTGATCCAAACCATATAAATTTGAATATCGAACAATAAGCATTATTTTATTCTTTATCGATTCGATTGAGAACCAATGATGAACGATTTCTAATCTAGTCTGTTTATGACATAGTGCAGGTTTCTCATCCGGATAAGTTTGTTTGTAAACTAGTTCATACTGTTGATCTGATGAACTTCATAGGCTAGAGATCTTATGGAGAAAACTCATCTTGAAGCTGATCGATAATGATTACACCTCTAAAACAATATAAACGGTTACGTGAATTCTGATTTTCACTGGCTCTTCATTTGAAATTCATTAGTAGTAATGAGAAATAAATCTAGGCATTATGTGTTGTATGAAGTCTTCGGCACTTTTTTTTGAAGAAAACTGAAGCCAGGGAAAAATGCTAAAAGTATTTCGACAAGTCAACGATCTTTGGAAATCATCTATAAGAATCTATAGCACAAAAAACGTGTGTCCTAAAGCTGGGTATACAAGTCTATAGTTGATAAATGAGATGTATGTCGTTCAACCACTAGACTTATATCGATTAGTAGATATCTTCTGTCAAGGAAAAATTTAGTTTACCTGAAACGGTTCTCTGAAGATCTGTAGGCCAAAGCTCAACGAGAAGTGACGGATGTAAGTAATTAGAGTAAATGTACCACAAACAAGTCTCAGTCAGGATACGTGTTACGCATGCGCGTGACCACGTTATTTGATATGATTGAACAATTACGAGTTTACCTTAGTCGGAAAACGAGAGCGAGGATCGAGGATCCGGCGACACGACATGCTACTCTAATCCGATTTTCTCAACCCCCCATTGAGTAAAATAAGAAGACTTGATATGAAGTAGAACCTGTATTCTACAAGCATCCAGAAAGTACGAGGTCCGAGTCCAGAAGAGAATCAGGATTTCGGACTAGGCATCCGGGTCCGGATCATGAAACGTTACAGATAATGCATATTTATACAGTTATGTTGGATAAGAAAACAACATTGAAGTCTGTGACATTGATAGTTAGGAGGGCCAATAGAATTGGACTTACAAACAATTATCTTAGGACATTGGGTGAATATCCTAACAATATGACTGAAAACGCGAGAGCAGTGAATAGCTGTTTTCTCCAAGCATGAGTCACTTCAGTAGTATGCACTGAAGGCATCACCAAAGACCAATATCCGTAAGACTCCAAGGTATCGGTTTAGTTTCTGGCTATGTCAAACATGCATAACCCTAAAGAGTTGTCCCATACAATGACGAACTAACTGATCAGTGCTACATAATTTCAATGATATGCAAATTGGTATTAGTTTGTAGTGTTGAACAAATTAAAGCTAAACACATGCTAGTGTATGGATTATCTCTACACAAGAATAAAATACTAGAACTTACCTGTAATCGGATAATCCACATAGGTTTTAGTTTTTCCATCATAATATTCAGTACCTTTAACAATGACCAAATGAGCTGGGAAATTTACACCCCAAGCTAATGTTGAAGTAGCGATTAAAATCTATGAGGATGATGAAGAAGAGGAAGAAGCAGTGAACAAACTGACGACAAAATATGACCAATTTGTATCACAATTTAACATAAGTTTTTAAAAAAAAACATTGAAAACCAAGAAGCACTAAACAGCTATTTCTTCCCTAAGATGGTGCTCTTAAGTAGTGTGCATCCGGGATTAATAAGAAATTTTCAAACCAATGGTTTTACTTTTTAATGGTATGTTTATGTTATAAAACTTCAAAAATTTAGACATTTTCAAAAATTCCTTAAAAAATTGCATGAATAGATTGGTTTTTCATGGCCAGCAAGAGAAGAGGATATTCGTAGATTAATATTATTTGACCATAGGAGTCTTCGAGACAATGCTCGTACATCCTGGGACGATCGAGAAAGCGATGCTGTTGTTAGGAAACGGGTAATAGGTGGGGATAGAGGACTAATTGATGAAGTAGTGAAACGTCGTCAGTTCAGGTGGTTGGGACATGTGTTGCATATGCCCAACCGCAGAATGCCTAAACGAGCAGTAGTCTTCAACAAAGAAGACTCTGATATACAACATAGAGAGTAATAACTAAACCACGTTCGATGCTATGGCAGCGGTGGAAACATTTACATATCTGGACGGTGTCATTGATAAACATGAGGGATCTGAGTTAGGAAAGCAAACGCAGCATCGCCACAATGGAAGAATACTTGAAACTCAAAACATTTATCTGTCTGCCAACACAGAAGTCACGATTTTTGATAAAAACGTCTAAATTGTTCACTTCTCTGGAGCGGAATCCTGGAGAACTACAAAATCCATCAGCCACAAGATACAGGTGTTTATTAACAGTTGTCTACTCAAGTTACTACCAATTTATCGGTCAGATAGTTACAACAACAACCTACTGTGGAAGAGGACAAACCACATTCCAGCTGACGAAGAAATTAAGAAGTGACACTAGAGGCGGATAGGTCATACATCGCTGAAATTACCGAATTAAATATACATCACCAACTAATAATTTGACTGTTGAGAATTCTCACCAAACCTGTACATTGAAACAAACATGGGTGTGAAGAAAATCTCAATTCATAATAACACGTCTGCAGTTCAGATAGAATATGGCTAGTCAACGAAACTTGAACACAAGCTAATATTGTTCTCCTTAAAATTGGACTAATGAATGTATCTGTATATGAGTATTGATGTTCACAACTGGATTCGAATCCAGAATCTTTCTCATCAAACTCTGAAACAGATATTACCTTAAACAGTGTGTATTAATTCACTTAAATATTAGTTAGATTGAGGTAGTTAGCTCAACATTTATATACCCTAGTTAAGAACGATCAAAGTTTCATTGCAAACATCATCTGTAGGATAAGTGAAATCGTTACAAATTAAAATTTAGTAACACTTCCACTTATGTTAACCGATTGAAGGTCATACACTCATACGCGACCTCGATGCCAAGTTAAAATAAAAAAACTGAAATAAATATTTTCCATCTACAGTATCCATCTTTCACACTCTGAATCGATCAAACAAATCACGTGACACAGTTTAATTTCATGATTATAATAAATGATATGTAATATAATCCATTTGAAAAGGTTTGTAATTTCATCTAGTATATTCGATCAGTTAGTGAAAATATTTGTAATTAATTACTGAAGAAGTAGAGTTGACATAGAAGCAAACACATTTAGAGCATGAATCTGATGATACAATGAGTATTCAAGGAACATGATAAGTGACTGATGAAGTCAATTAAACGGTCACTAAATTTCGGATTCGGGATGGCAAGAATAGTCCAAACTTGGGGCCTGAAATGAAATCCGTAGTGAAAGTTATGCCTTAATATGCAACTGTTACGCCTGCACGTAAACACGTCAACTTGATATGCTTGAACTATTACGAGTTTACCTAGTCGGAAAACGAGAGCGAGGATCAAGGATCCGGCGACACGACATGCTACTCAAATCCGATTATCCCAACCCCCATATTTAGTACAAATAAGAAGACTTGATACGAAGTAGAACCTGTATTCTACAAGCATCCAGAAAGTACGAGGTCCGGGTCCAGAATAGAAACAGGATCCCGGACTAGGGATCCAGGACCGGGTCCTGGTCCTGGTCATAAAACGTTACAGATAATGCGTATTTATACACTTTGGTCGAATAGGAAACAGCATCGAAGTCTGTGACATTGACAGTTAAGACGACCAATAGGAAGCAACATTTGAAGTGACATTGATAGTCAGGACAACCAATAAGCAACAACATTGAAGAACGTGACATTGATATCTAGGACGAACATAAAATTGACTAGTAGGAATTAACTAATAGGAATAGGATATTGGATGAATATCCTAACAGAAACATCATTCATTACACAAACGTGTAACAATGAGTTAACACTTGTGTACTTGTTGAGTTATTGAATTCCCACGCTGCATACTTCATTAATGTAACATTGACAAAACAATAGAAGATTACATACTGATATGCTTGAGCTATTACGAATTCACCATAGTCGGTAAACGGAACGAAGTTCAATGATTCAGCGACACGATAGGCTATTCTAATCCGATCGTCTCAGGGCCCTACTAACTAGAGGAAGAAGTCTTGATATGGCGTTGAGAAATGTATTCTATAGACAGCCAGAAAGTACAAGGTCTATAAGCATACAATCATAGCAACACCCTTGGGAGAGCCAGAAAATAGCGTACTAAAATAAACTATCTAACAGAATTAGTCCAATATTTAATAAAATCAGATGTTCTTTTTTTTAATGATAAAATATCAATATTTTTTTCAGGCAAAAATATATGAGAAAATAAGTACAGTAAGATGTGAAATCTACTGTGCACTCCTCCCCTTTTTTTCCATATTGTACTACCACCACCTATAGACATGCAATCGCAAACAATTATCTTGAAACTTGTAACTGACTAATGCTTCTCTAATGTGTCAATCATGTCTAACTAAGAGATGATAAGAGAAGGATAGTGGGTAGATTTGTTACATTTCGAATGCGCATACAGCTTGATCTGATTTGTGTTAACGATTCACAACGGTTTGACAACAACTAGATTCTGTTGTTGTGTAAAAATCAATCGTAAAGTTTGATATTTATACCGTTTATATTTACTGTAATGAATAGGTTAGTAATTTTCCAGATGGGTTCAATGTACAATGAATGATCACTGAAAAAAGAAAAACCAGTTTCGATCAGCCAAAATAATAAAAATCAAATCAACTTGGAACACACTTGTATTTTTTGATTTGCAAATAACTCTTCCACTAATGAACGATCTTGGCTCTGTAGACCAGCATGATGTAAACCAATACCGAATGTTAAAGTTAAACGTAAATTTGTTTCTTGTATATTTTCACATAGTGATTCCATCTAAATGATAAAAAAAAAGATTAAGTGATGAATAAGTTCTGACTATCAGCAACAACGAACTGTGGGAGAGAACAAGTCAGATTCCAGTGGAGGAGGAAATCAGGAAGAAGCGGTGGAAGTGGATAGGACATACACTACGAAAAGCACCTAACTGCGTCACGAGACAAGCCCTCACATGGAACCCTCAAGGCAAAAGGAAAAGAGGAAGGCCAAGGAACACACTACGCCGAGAAATAGAGAAAGATATGAGAGGAATGAACAAACATTGGACAGAACTGGAGAGGGAAGCCCAGGACAGAGTTGGTTGGAGAAAACTGGTGGGCGGCCTATGCTCCATTGGGAGTAACAGGCGTAAGTAAGTAAGTAAGTAATAAGTTCTGACTGTAATTGATAAATAAAAAACAGAAACAATTAGACAGAAATGTATTTCGCTAATCAAAGGATGAGGAGTCAAGATCATCTTGGAATGGCTTCACTTAGAGGGTGGTTGTCACTTCCTTGTCCGACACACTGTGGAACGATACTTCTTTAGTCACTTGGAAAAGAAGAAATGATTAGAAAAACCGATGAAAGCAACTTCCTTCTGTAACCAATTTAAGGTGTTAGATATGTGCTTTCCAGAACTTTTCATTGACAACAGTAATAGGGGGGTAAGTAGGGCAAAATGTACTAGGTTAAGTTTCAAGCGGACGTTGTCAGAGAGTAGTTTCGTTGAATGTAGAGCAGCATCGTTGCAGATCGTCAGTGTATGAGGAAAACATATTACTGAAGTCGCATATCCTAGTGCAACAGAACTTTGTGCTTAGATCGACAGTTTGTTGCTTTTAGGCCTAGCGCTCTTCAAACAACCGGTCTATTATGATAAATTATTCCAGACATTGAAAACCAATTGGGTCATTACTTACTATATAAAAGTCCGATCACTATATCAAGGTAGTATATATGATCGGAATTGAATATCTAGTTCAGTTACTAATAAAATAGTTTATATTTATTCACTTGAACAGTCTAACCTGGGATAAGACAGACAGACAGATACAACACAGAACTTCGTACATAAGTACATCGGTTCAGGTTGCCATGCCCCAATCAGCACAGAGACGCAACTGTTAGTTCAAATCCAACAGTGATAGCAATAATAGAAGTATTAGCAGTAATGGAGAAGATTATGGAGCAAAGATATGATTCGAGAAGTATAATTCAGTAAGATAAATTTAAAAGGAGAAGGTAGAGATTATGAGGAATGCATGGTACACGAGCAATGCCTCAGGTACACCGATGATCGAAGACTAGTAACCTACGAAAGTCCTCTACTCTTAACTGCCAAGTCTCGCATCCGTACAGTAGGGCGGAGCGAACTGCTGCACAGTACACTCGTTCTTTGGTTAGCAAACGGATATCTCGCCTGCGCCATAGGTGACGCAGGTTGGCAAAAGCCAATCGAGCCTTCTGTATCCGTGCTGAGATTTCGTCAGTCACCAGGCCATCAGCACTGATGAGACTCCCCAGATACGTGAAGCAGTCAACACGCTCAACTACTTCACCTGGGAAAAAATTGATTTCTTATTTTAATATCAATAGTGATATGATCTAACTTCCCTTCTCATTGACACTAGTCAATAATAAGATATAGTTAACATTAATGATTGACCTCATGTAATCTTTATTAAAGTTTATTTGAAAGAGAAAAACACTTACTTCTTCTGGTTTCATATGTAACCAACATTTGGGATTGTCGGAAGCTGCAACATAACTAACCAAATCCAAAGCGGTTAATCTAGTTTGTCGACGACTTGATACAAAGATAAGAACAGGTTTATTCGGGGAATGACTATGAATTGCTGGAAAAAAAAATTTATAAAACTTATGTATACATACAAATTTATGCTTAGTAAGTGCGAAACAAAAGGAAGTTTAATAGTTTACATCATGAACAAACATTGGTTAGATAACAAATGAAAATTAATAACAACCAGAAAGCAATCTCATCTCTGTACTGGACTCCCAATCAGGCTTAAACAGAGGAGTCTCGTGGTGGTTGCTTAATTTTTAAGACAACTAATCTGGTGGTAATCAATGGGTAACTTCAATCACTTCGTGATATCGAACAATTTTCTTGCATGGTATTCAATGAATAACTTCTACCTTATAGCATCCAACATGGTTGAACTATGCTGGTCATAGTTTCTCGCTAGATTCACACATTGAAATTCAAATGTCTATTCAACAACCAAAAGCTTCAAGATCAATTCTACGGTACAGATAGGATTTCTGGTGAGACTGTGAGGTACATCCTGCTTGATAGCTTCATAAAGCAACTGTCTAATAGTCCCTGATATTTTAATGTCATAGTGAACGAGGGTTTATAACTGTCACGTAGTAAGATATTCATACTAATGTTATACAAGATGAAATTGACCTGAAATAATAACATCGTTTCATTGTGTTTGTATTCCTCCAAACAAACACCAATAAACATCATAAACTCTAAATATGTTAATGGTTAATTAGCTTCCTTAGTTTGAAACGTGTAGCTGAACTTGAACGCTCTTGATGCTGTTGAAGTTTAAGGCCTTGTCACATTGACTGAACTCTTTTGTATGGTTTCACAGATTGGATCACTGTCGAACTATTTGTTGAGTGCTAATTAACCTGAACGTCACCTTTATCAATATCCTCTGGCATTCTCGGAATTTTCATTTAAAAAATATTGACGTTGACAACATGCATTGACATTGTTCTTATTGGATTCTTACCTCAATGGAGAAATGCTTATAAACTTAGCTGACAAGTTTCAAATAAAATTAAAACTAGTACTTTTTAAAAAAAATTTTCAAGAATTTTTTTTTTGCAAAAATTAATTCAATGAATAATTTTACCTTGAAAAATTGGCCTATTCATAGTAGCCATACGTGGACAATAATGTCTACCGGGATAACCTTGTATATGAACTTCCAATGGAACTGGTCGAACAGATGGTCGAAAATTAAATAAACCTCTACCAGTTAATCCATAACCAGTTTCAGTTATAGAAGCAATCTCTGCAATAGAAGTCATTGTGAATGGAACATGTAACCAGGCAGCTAAATCAGGTGCATTAGCTAATGCTGTAGACAAACCAACAATTCGAATTGATTGACCAAGTTGATTTGCTATGTAATTAGCTCGAGAAACAAGAACCTATTAAAAATTTTCGGGTGAAAAAAACACACAAACAAGTAATAAATCATCTGTTACCTTAATAATTCTGACTTTAGTTAGAGCTCCCTCAAGAGTAACAAGCCACCAGGTCTCGAACTCTAATACAGGAGAGAACAGTAGGCACTGGAAAAAAAAAATTACTAACAATAAAAATTGACTTCAGCTTTTAGCTGTGACAGTCTTTACATATCTGGACAGAGTATCACTGAGAATCTAATACAAATGTTTAAGGCAAGAATTAACAAAACGAAAGAAGCTAGCTTTCCAGTAATTCCTATTAAAGCATCCAGAACTAGAAAGAGAATGTCACATTTTTTGAACATACATGTTAATATAACATCTAGTACAGACAGTTGGAACTTAAAGAACTAACATAACCACCATTAAGAAAGAAAAAGGGTATTTATAAACAGTTATCTACGCAAGAAGCTCCAGGTTCACCGGCTGGAAACGATGATGAGTAGTAATCTGCAATAACAGAACAAACTAGCTTTCAGCTAAGAAAATTACGGGAAAGATGTTAACGGGTGGAAAACATACACTTGACCACTAAACGGCATTACAAGTAAGCTCTAATTTGAAAATCTTCAACAAAAAATAAAAACGAAACAGACTAAAGAATGAATTGAGCCGAAAATCCAGAGGCAGATACCGAAAAATGATGTATAGCACACTTGGCATTAAATAGAAAGAAAAGTCCGAGACAAAGATAGCTGATGATTGCTGGGCATCGGCTTATATTTCAGGATGTGTGATAAAAACTAAAAGGAGTAAGTTAATAATTAATTTTATTTATGCACAAATTATTGAGAATATAAAATGTAATAATATAAAGCGGACATAAAAAAAATACTTCATTTTTCATATGACTTAAACAAAAAAGCAAGTAGTAACTCACAGAACCAAAGACATGATATGATATTCGGTATTTCACTATAAAATATTTCGGTGGCGTTGCTTTCACTGAGTGAGATAGTTTGACTGCAGGAAAGTCAGTGAGTCAGCGCCAATGTAAAAACTGGTACCTAAGTACATCAGTTCAAGTTGCCATACCACATAAACATAAAGGGACGTAACTGTCAGTTCAAATGCCGTAGTAGTAGAGGTTGTAGCAGTATTATCGGTAATGGACAAGATTAGGGATCGAAGATAAGATTCGAGAAGTATATGCCAATTAAGTAAATTAAGATAAAGAAAGAAAAGGCCAATAAAAATTCAGAAGACTATAATTTGAATAAATGGATGCATCTGCGCCATCGCAAATGACATTGAGCCATGCCAAAGTCCTCAACCACCGGTTAAAATTATCACGTAGACTCCAGCCAGATAGTCAACAACTAACTTTCATCCAGCTTAATCCAACAGTAGACTACGTAGCCCATCGAGGTAGCCGATAGTTGGGTATTCGCAATAAATGTTCCATCCACCTCAATTGACAGAGATTCATTACTTCATCAATTCATTTGCCGTCTTTACCTAGTCCCCTTTTTCTAACCATGGCCTTGACAATCGGCGGTCCCAGAATACGCGAGCGATGCTTCGACCGAATACTAACAACAAACAAATATCTTCTATTCTTACTGGTCATGTTTAAAGCAAGCAATGTAGAAGACAGAGAACTGACATTTGGTTGGCAGACAAATGTCTCATATACACAGTAAGTGGTGTATGTTTAAAACCTCAATCGAGGCTTCTGTAGCCCTGACAAGATTTCTTCAGACACCAGGCCATCGGGGTTAATAATATTCCCAAGATAAGTAAAGTCGTCAGTGATTCAGGCTCAGAAGCAAGCCATAACTTTTCGGACATTATTCTGAACTGTCTTGCCTTGGACATCACTTACATGGCTGTCACACCCGATCCAAGTCAGAAGTACGAATTCCCCCCACCCGCCGTCAAGTTGCTGCTTTTATCATACCATGCTTCAAAAAACCTGCCTAACAAGAGAAAACCTAAAGGGACATGCGTTCCAGATAAAATAGCCCGAGTGGGTAATCATGATACGTAAGCCCAACCACCACGTCTAAGTAGTAGCCACGGTCGGGTAATTGCAGCAACAGATTTCATTATCGTTTCGAACAATATTATTAAAGTCTACATTTTCTCGAAATGTCAATGTTATTGGTTATTTGATCTGCTTTTAAAGTTTATCTACTCATCTGAATGTATCACGCCTGTAATTTGGGTAGTAATTGTTCCTCCATCGAACTATATATTTGATTTAGTTGGAAATATTACAAATTCTTTAGTCAAAATGAATGAACTTCTTATTTTATAAATTGAATTAAAGACATAACAATTAAAGAAATACTGAGCTGAGATTCGATTATTGCAACTTCATGTTGGCGATGTTAGATCTCCAGAACTCACTTGAAAAAGGTCTTAATCTTGCAGTTTTATAGCGAAATTTTGAATTTTACGTTTTCGCACCAAACACGACTTTTTCGACCTTCAGCTTGCATTTCCCCCTTGGGAAATCCTTAACTGTCTTCGGCTGATGAATTATTTTAGAACGCTATTTTGTGGTTCTCACCAAGAGCGTCTCTATCATTGTATAAGTAAGCTTGATTTGTGTACTTGTGGACCTCGTACTTTCTGGCTGCCTGTAGAATACATTCTCTACGCCTTATCTAGTTATCCGCGGCTGAGAAAAAACGAATTAGAAAAACACCTATTGTGTCACTGAGTCATTGCTTCGTTCCGTTTACCGACTAAGGTGAACTCGTAATAGCACTCAGGAATATCAATTGACGAGCAAACTACTTCAAACTTCTATTGATTTGCAAACTCGTGCAATCAGTATAATTCATGATTTATAAATTATTTAGATGAAAACGTACTGGTTGGCGGTATACAGTTAGTGGAAAATCACCAGATTTGATTACTTAAATAATCGATATTTTTGTCAACTAATTTATCAGTCACTTTTTTGATTTACTTAGAGTTTCAAGAGTAGGAATATTAGTGAATAGATGAAAAATCCATTTCGTTTAACAAAGATGACTGAAGTTGAATAAATGTGAATTTTCGAAATCTGAATCAATAATTAACACAGAAACAAAAAGTCATAGGCAGAACTTCATGCGAAAACAGTGAGTAGGTAGTGGACCTAAAGAGTAGCTGAAACTATTTGAAACTATCAGTTTCTCTGCATTGATATCAACTAGTAGTGATGCAAACAATTATTACTTAAAAAACAATTGAAAATATAGTTCAACATTCATATGAAACATGGTCAAAATACTTACTTCCAGTACAGGACCACGTTCTTCGCCAAGTAAATGGATTTCATCAATAATAATTAATGCAACTTGACGAACATATGACCTATGCTGCCATGAACGTGAAATACCATCCCATTTTTCCGGTGTAGTAACTATTAAATCAGATCGTATTAATTGTTGAATGTCTGGAGTGATGTCGCCGGTTAGTTCGACAACTCTAAAAAAAATAATATTTTGATAAAATCATCTAATGAGATATAAATCAGATTCTTTTTTAAAAATACAAACTAAGAAAGAATTACTTCAGTTATTGTCACATTTTAATGAACTATGTAAAACATTATGGGGCTGTTAAGATTGTTAAGTTACACATTTGAAATCATAAAATCGATCAATGTTACCTGTGCTCACTGGTAACTAGCTCCGTGAGAAATCTTCTCCGAGTTCTGGTGGGAAGTCGTGACCAGTGAAGTTCAACCTGTTCGGGTGTAGACAGCTGAAGACAGTGTATGAGGCTACGCAAGACCGTGCATTGATCGAAGTTACACATCGACACGGTTGAATAACGGCTCAGTGGTCGAGGTTGTGCGTTAGCGCGCAAAACCGAAAGTCCTGGGTTCGATTCCTGCGAGGTGCAGGAGTCGTGTATGCGCATTGCTGATGAGTCCCATACCAGAACGAAACGGTTGTCCAGTGCTTCCAGATTTCAAATGGTGGTCTAACATTGATCGATTCATGATTACAGATGTGTAACTATGTAAAAGATGAAAACAGAAGCTTTCTATTTCCAGAATAGAAACAGCCTTCTGTCTGATAACCTTTTAAGCCATCAGGTTGAGGGCTTATGATGAATCGATATATGTCGAATCAATCGCAGTTTTCTTTCATATGACAGCGATATGTCAAAAACTAACCATTTGTATCATTTTCTATCTGGTCCCGGTGTCTGTAAAGTATACAATAATAGAACTGGCTGGACTGGCATTCAGAACACATGCCAAATCCAAAGAAGTCGATGTTCCGAAATGATGATACTAATTTAATTATTGTCACTGTCCTCGAATACATAATGCCAAGCGCCAACATTACGAATGAATGTGAGAGAACCTTCGAGAATAACGATGGTCGGACAAAGGAAGTTGCCAAAAGCGTTAAGAGTTATAATGAATACACCAATATAGAACGTGGATGACATCGCAAGCGTGCGTTATATGCCTGCATAAAATGCATTGACGGTGGCTTGTACATTCCATACTATAACACACATGTATGGATGCGACGTGATTTTGTTGCCCCAAAGCCGAAGCTCAGCAATAGGAGTAGATAAATGCAACATATTGGATGACCCTTCCTAAAAGATATCAGGTATCAAAATCAATAAATTCTTTTTACGGCTCTGCATTTCACATTTATCTTTGCTAAACATCTATTTAAGGCGGTACGTGAGAAAGTGGTAGACTAGTCCTATCTCCGTCAGTGTAGACAGAATGTTAATGATCTCGACTTCCACTTGTCCGCTCATAAAACATAGTCCCATTATCCATGTGGTATCTCATGAAGCTTTGGGGTTAGATTTTACAAAATCATATTAAAATTTCAATTACTAACCGTTTCCCTAATTTTTGACCAATTCGAATATTCCAATCATCAATCCGTTCGCGTACAAGTGCTTTTAATGGAGCAATATATACACACTAGTGAAAAAAAATGTATTTGAACAAAATAACTACAACAGTCTAACCAATTACAGTGACAAGTTAACAATTAATTAATCATTGAGTTATCATCATGGTCAGATTTGTCTACACTAAAAGAAAATATCAGTTTCTTCCAAACTACAAGTATACTTTAATGATAAATACTAACAGTCATGAAGACATAGGTCGAGTATTGTTTCCAATCGATTACCTTCGATCTACTAGTTAACAACTGTTGTGAGTGACGATTTAACTAGTAGGCGACAAACTTTCAAAACCATTTTTCTAAGATCTTATTTGTATATGATGACTGCATACTTATTGGCTATTATGATCATATTATTTTCAGATTATGCGTATTCCTAGCTTTTATATAAATCACAAATTGATTTTATGTCAGCGATACAGCGATCAGAAAGACTAAGACGACAGCTTATTTAAAAGGGGGGACGAGTGTGGTGTGAGCTACTTATAAGTAGTATATGACGTGAGTGTCAACGTAATGTCTGGCAGCAGAAGATGGGGGAAGATCAAGAAAGGAAGAGTTAGAAAACAATGGAATTTGTATGAAACGCATGAATAGTGACAATGGATTGATGTTTTGCAACAGGAACAGTCCAGTTCGATAGGATGGACTGATATTTTGCAAATAAACGATTTACGATATGATTTTCCAATTTTAATGAGTAACTCTATAATTTTCGCTAAACACAATTTGGTTGTCCTCACCTGTGTTGTTCTTCACTACAATATTAGATTCAAAAACTAGAACCAATTATTTGTGTATTCATTATGCTGTTTTTCCCCACCATTAATTAATGTTGTTACCCTTTATTATTATCAATACAAAATGCATCTGATGCGCAGTTTTAGTTTGTGTGTATAAAAAATGGATGTCTGAATTATAATAACAATTTCGGACTGATGGTAATTGATCACTTGTTCTTCCTCTGCATTTGGGTCCAGTTAAAATTAGCTCGACCTTCATGCATATAGAAAGAGCAGTTCTCTCATTCTCCTTGTGTATCACAGTTACTCAAAGGTCGTCTCAGCGCAGTGCTCAGTGTTAGGAAAACACAATAACGAAACAAATTTAAATACCATAGTTTACCAACAACATATCATCCTTGAACAAACAAGTAAACTCAAAGGCTCATTGCAGTAGTATTCAATAGTTTATTAAGAAAAGTAAAAGTGGTACGTGACAGACAATGAAATTCTAGATAACTTTTAGTTCAATTTCACCTTTATTCACTGAATAGTATTTATAAATATTCCAATCACACAAAGATGGTGAGTAGGAATTTGACTAAATGAAACTAAAAACATACGATAGAAAAAAAATGTTTTAGTTTGTTTTTCAAAACACTACAAACATGAATATAAAACAAAGCCATTATTTATTAACTGTGTCAAAATTAACCACAAATTAAATAACCAGGTTAATAAAGGTGGTCTAAAAATGATTCATTCATGATTTCAATATAAAACAGTGATCACTATAAGTCCATAATGCAAAAATCATAAAATGTGCCGTGACTGGTGGAGTTCAACCCTATCTGGTGGACGCAGTAACTACCGAAGAGAGTGGGTGAGATTGTAAGAAATCTTCCAATTGATCAGAGTTAAACATTAACACCGTTGGATGCCTGCCCAGTGAGTTAGAGGTTAAGCGCTCGTGTGCAAGACCAACGGCCCTGGGTTCGAGTCCTGAGAGTGGCAGAAGTCATGGACGCGCAATACTGATGAACCCCACTACTAAGACGAAACAGTCTTCTAGTACTTCCGTGTTTTTCTAATACTGGTCAAACAATGATTCATTCATGATTTCAATGCAAATGAAACTGTGATCTCAAAGTGACAATCAAAAACAAGAAGAAGAAAAAAAAATAATAATTTACAAACTTTTTGTTTTGGATATTCATTGAATACACGAAAAATAGCCAATTCAGCGGCAACAGTCTTGCCGGAACCAGTAGGTGCACCCAATAGAACATTAACATTTTGATGATATAATGTATGAAATAATTGTGTTTGTATTGGATTAAAATGTGAAAATTTATATAATAATTCATAATTGGCATTGTTCAACGCTGTCACTGGTAATGGTTGTAAACGAAGTAAATCTGTTGTTGAAATAAATATTTGACAAAAAAACAAAAAACATTTTGAGACGTGAATGATGGATGATTGGTTTGTGATCAGTCAGTCAAATTAACATACAAGATAGAACTATGTACGTAAGTATATCAATTCAAGTTGCTATACCACATTAGCACAAGGATGTAATTGTTAATTCAAATCCAATAGTAGAAGAGGTAGTAAATGTATTAGCAGTAGTCGGAGAGGTTAGGATTAGAAGATATTATTCAACAAGTAGGATCTTGTGAAAAAGATGAAAATAAAGTGATGAAGAATAAAAAAGTTTAGGATTTGAGAGAACACAAAGAATGAATGAATGCACCTGCGCCATTGCAAACGGTTTATAGCCATGTCATTCAGTGTCTCTAACCATCGATTACTATCATCTCGCGGGCCCCAACCTAGTAGTCGACACCTACCGGCATGACTCAGTTCACTTGTCAGTGACTTCATGGATTTCTGTCATGTTTTGGCTGGACCGCCCATAGCTTTTTTACAACCTATTCCTGAATCGCAAGGCACAGCTCAACGAGGCAGTCGGTAGTTAGGCATACGCAACACATGTCCCAACCACCTCAACATACGAGGTTTCAATAATTCATCTATTGGTCTGCCATCCTTACCTAGTACTCGTTTCCTAACAACAGTATTGCTTACTCGGTTGTCCCAGGATACACGAGCAATGCTTAAGAGACACCTATGATCGAAAACCAGCAACCTACGAATATCTTCTACTCTAACCGACCATGTTTCGCATCCGTACAGTAGGACGGAGCGAACTATTGATTTGTGATAGATACAACAAACGAAATGTTGGCATTTACAGTATAATTTGTATTCGTTTACCTATGTGTTGCTTATCGTCTACGATTGTCCCAGTTAGCTAAAGATAACTACACTTATCATACAATTGCTCAATCTGTTTAACAAATTGAAAAAATAAGCATACATTTGTTTTATTTTTGGTTTCTATTTGTAAAACGACTATAACTACTAGGCTGTGAAGATCCTTTATGCAACAGCAAGTCTGCCATTTTTTAAGTTGACAATGCTGATCGGCATTGTAAAGGATAAGTTTTTTGAATGAGCCACTTCGGCATGAATCAGTCCGTTAGGCTGCTCTTGCCAAGAAAGCTATCCGATGGTATAGCCAGACAAATTAGATATCCAAATACAGTATATCTGTTTATGACCCACGAACGATAGAATGAAGTTAGTACTCAGCTGTCGCCTATTACGCATAAACGGTCGCTATCATCTAGCGGATAGAACAGAAATATTTTTAGTAATTTATCTGATATCTTAGAGATTTCTCTTATAACATAAGAGAATCAAGCTGGGATAGGAAATCTAGATCATCTGTGAAATAAAAAAATCATATAGCTACATCCCTGCCTTCCTCACAGTGTCATTCTGTCCACGCTGTCGGATGTTTGCTCGTTGTCAAGAACGTTGATGTATAGTGGTCAGTTCCGTCAAACTGATTATCCCAAATTGATCTGTAGTGTCGAGATTCAGTCGGTACACGATCGATCCTGATGGAAACCATCAACTGATCTCGAAGTTGGGTGTCTAGTGAATCTTTCGTCCGGTTCACTAAAACACCGTTCAAAACTTTTGCTGGTACTTATAGGAGAGTGATGTTTCTGTAGTTCTCACACTTACTAAGACCTCCTTTCTTTGGTATATTGATGAAGAAATACTTCCTTCCAGTCTGTTGATAATTGTTCTTTCTTCCAAATCTTGGTGAAGAGAGAATGGAATATCGCTATGTCAATTGTTGAATCCACAATGATCCATAGTGTTGAGATTTTTGGTCAGTACACGATCGATCTTTACGGACTTCAGCCTTCTGATCTGGAAGTCAAATATCTAATTTGACTTGACATATACTTTGCATGACTTAATTTTTTTTTTGAACTGGTTACTATTACAATGTTTTTTTTAACAACTTCCAACTTCCTGTTACTTTGAACTGCACCATCGTTTTTAATTAATCAATTTTACAATTAAGGTCAAAATGACAATAAATGTTTAACATTCTCAATGAACATACAAAATTAGTGCAAACATCTAATCAATAACTACACTATACAACAACCAATAACGGTCTAATATTAGTGAGATTTAAGAGAAAAAAACAACTTTAAATATACATGAGTACTGAATAGTTTTTTTTTTTAAAAAAAATACACACATATACCTGTATGAGGTGGATCACTACTAGGCAGTATGAGACGTTTCAATGAAACTGGACAAGTTGAATCAGCTCCAAGCCAACAATCACTAAGAACACGAACAAAATATTGAGTTGGATAAGGTTCATACAATGGAATGGTGAAATTCAAAATTTGTGCAGTTTTTGAATTGTACTATAAAATTGAATAACAAAAAAAAATAAAAAATAAAAAAGGAATACACAGCGATGAAACGGAATGAAATTGAACACGACTTTTTTACTGAAGAAGCGGTTGCTTTAGTTTTTTTAAAAAGAAAAAAGTATAAAGTAGATTCATAAAAGAATCATGAATATAGTTTAAAACCATACAGATGATCACTAGGAACCAAGAAAGATGGGATAGTTGTTTCGTTCTAGCATAGAACTAACTGTTAAGTGGGGTCAACAACAACGTAGAACATTGCACGTAAGTACAGCAGTCCAAGTTGCCATACCACATGACAAGTGAGCTGGATTCACTTCACTCGGCTAGGAGCTAAACGCTAGTTAAGCTAATCCTCAAACCAACATCTCAAACTTCAGTTATGCCATGGATATTATGCAATTATTATCCAACGTAAATGATGACCACTAATACACTACTGATATTGTCAAAATTCACTGGTCATTGGTTTGTACCAGAAGTTATCCGTAGGTAGAGCGTATTATTAAAGCATATAATTCATAGTTTCACTAATAATAATAATAATAATAATCAGAACTGGAAAAAGATATCAATCAACTCTACTACACACCATGCGTTTAGTCAGTGTCCAATATTCCGAATGAAATATAACACCTTGATCAGGATCTTCAATCCATATCCAATATGGTTGTTGCATTCCATGAATTTGATTTGACCAAATAAAATCCGGCTGGATTGTAAGTTTAACACGTAGAATGGTACGTGTAATTGGTTGTGATTCTACGGATAATTGAATTTTCGGTAAATAAAAAGCTAAACGTTGTATTTCTCGAGCACCCTCTCTACCTTGATAATGAAATAGATAGGCTAAAAAAATGGAAAAAGAAAAAAATAGACGCAAACACAAGCGGCAGTCAATAGAAACAGATCGTAGTTACGCAATAGTAGAGAATATATATTACAGATTGGTAAAGTTCATGTGTACTACTATTAATGATGAAAATAATAAAACACTATAACATTAAGTTTTGGTCGATAGTTCAACATTGAAAGTGATGAATAAAAACGTGAATTAATACACTTATTAGAATTACATAATAAGAAGTTAGAGCACCTCATATATATTTGAGTTCGTTAAAGTTTAATTTTGGTTCAGCCCTTTTATCAACTGGAACAGCAACAACTTGTCTGTACGATTGTACTTTTATAATAGTTGCACTTGTATGAACATGTCTACTTGAGCATTGGTTACAGCCTCTGCACATATTCATTCTATTGGCTGTAATGTTAGTCGCTTAAATAATCAGATGACTTATTTATTTTCCTATACATACATAAATGTACATTTTACTCCCGTACATTCACTCCTCATCACTGTCATATCATTTGACTTTCGTTTCGTATGCCTGTGGTTTTGTGATTTGTCAGCTGCGATGATTAATGTCATCTTCGCTGCGTATTTGTCTTCTGCATTGTATAAAGCATTGGGCACTATCTCTTAAAGGTTATCAGGACAAGCAATATACGAAGTTTAAGGATTGTATTGAATGTCCACCGTTACAAAGTATGTAAGTAATTTGGTAATGAACGGAAAGAAAAATGGCGAAAAAATACAAGGTGTTGAGATGATGCAGAAAATTTATAGCTCAGGTGGATGATTGTGTTGCTGTTTCGTTCTCTGAGCTAGTTGTTCTGGTTGTGGAGCTTTCATTGTTCTGCTGAACAACATCATCAGAACAAATTTCAGATAGAAGTGAAGTATTTGAAATTTTCCACGTTTGACCCGTAGCTTGTACTGTTAACCTCGATCTTGATTGGTTGCTATTGACCTTAAATCTGTCATTTTTTGCACCTGTGTTTGATTGTATCCCCCCCTTCTTGATCTTTTGTTGCCTATGATTTTTCTGATTGGTTGATAAATTGGGTCAATATCGATGTGTCTGTTGATTGCTGATTGACCTGAGTGCCAAGCTTCTAAAAATTCTCTAGTGCTCTTTGCACTCAAATGTGGAGAAATTCGAACACTTGACTTCGATCTGAAATTTATGCTGATGATGTTGTTCAGAACAACAATGAAAGCTCCACAACCAAAACATTCAGCTCAGAGAACGAAACACTACCACAAATATAAGGTGTGAAAATAACAATAATATCAATGAAATACAATAGTTTATTAGGATTTATACGATCAAAGAAGTGACAAAGTTGTTGCGAATTTCTTCTGGACATAAAAATTGAGGTTGAAGCTATTCTAGGTAGGAAATGGGGTCACATTAAGTTGAGTAATTATGAGGATATAGGATAGACAACTTGGGAAAATTCGGTTTTATCTATATTATGACCACTATCAACAATTAGGTATTCCTATATACACCTGATTATTGTTTTTATCTGGCCATTTCCAAACTATGCTGGGAGAAGTTCACTAACTCGTTGGTTAAGTTGCCTGGTAAAACGGCCAATCTACACAGGAACAACTGAATTTATGAATACACATTTAGCAGCCCAATTCAGTCAACTTCTCATTCTTCCGGGCACACATCGTTGGTCGAGTAGAAATTGTCAACGCTAGATTGACTGATTAGAATATTCCACTAATTATCTTCGCTAATCTATCATGTAAGAAGTTGTCAGCCATATTTCCTGCAGAATTGTAGATTTAGGAATAGAAGTTTCTTTCGAATGGTCGAAATTTCCGACTTCTTTTTATCCGTATACATGTACTTCTTTAGAAAACCACTCAGGTAGCCAATCTCAGTTAGTAAGTTACTAACAAATTAATTCGTTAAGGTATCCACTAAGCAGATTATTTTCGCTCTGCTAGTGAGACATCTAACCAAACTGCTTTTGTAGAGGATAGATGTAAAACTCTAAACGTATGTATACTGGCAAGCAGAGGAGCTCTTTCTATAAACGCTGCTACTTAACAGTATATAAACTTATGAAATGTATGCAAAAAAAGTATAAATGAAACATTCAACAAAATACGAAGATATTTGCAGTTTTTAATTACCTCATGATTAAAAACTCATGAAGTAAGCTCAGTTAGAAAACCATTAACTTGTCAACAATCGATATCCATGACCTTTAACACAGATTGAAACCAGAGGCTTTAGATCATCTCGAACCGAGTGTTTAACTTAAAGACCATTGAGACAGTATCCAATGGTTTATATGTCAATCAACAGTCAGTCAGTTTCAGGAGACCAGAAATGACGTTCCGTGAACTCGCATCGTTTGCATTAGCTGTGCACTATGATAAAGGAATGTGAGAAGAGTTAGTCGTGGAGATAAGAGAGGTATTAGGAGGTAAAGGAGGGATTTGGTTTGGACCAATTTGGTCTCGTGTGCTGTTACGGGTATGAGGGCGGTTATCACTTCCCGGCTGCCCACACCGTGGAAGGTTGTTTCTTGAGGAACCTGAAAAGGAAGGTAGATTAGCGTTTGTCTGAACGACCTGCGGGCGTGACCGCAGAGCCCAAGGGACAACTGCTTGAAGCCGGTCACGCACGGCCTTTTGACGAGAAGTTTTTTGAGTGTTAGCTCCGCTCTTGAAAGCCCTTAGTGGCCACCCTTACCGACGGAGACGAAAATCCGTGAGGTAGAGTGAGGTGTGACATTTTTAAGGTCGACCTACTCTAACCCTTCCTTCCTTATGAGAAGGCAGCATCGCTGCAGATGCTGGTTGTCCGAGGGAAACACCTTACTGCTGTTACACCTCTCTGCAGTCAGCAGTACGACTTCGCCCTCAGATCTTGGGTAGCTGCTTTTAGTCTCATCGTTCTCCAATCGACCTGCCTGTCATGGTAGAACCTTCAGGAACATAAGCTCCAGCCAATACAGCTCAGTTGGGTCATCACGATAGGCAAGCCCGACCACCACGTCAAGGTAGCAGCTTCGGTCAATCAACATATGATACTATGCAGCCATCATTCACTACTGTTTAGTAGATAGATGTATAATATATGATAAATATCCAATGTTTTAGATGTATGATTTTGGAAAATTACCCAAAATAGCAGATAGATTTTAGTCAATGAATGATAGCTTCGAATAGTTATAAGTCAATGTGTCTGGAATGCTTGTTACATCGCGTTCAGTGTAAAAATGACCTAAACGATTCTACTTCCAATTGAGGAGGAGGGACAGGTAGGTCATCAGTGTGTACAGTTGATGAAATAGCCATCTAGTATTTTCATACTGTTTTCAAAAACTTCTCAAGTTCATACCTAAAAACATTAAGCATATTGTGTAAACAAACCAAAGTAGTAAGTCTATGTATCTGCACATATATGTCATATAAAATCTTAATTTAACAACAACAAAAAATTATATCCACCTAATTCATTGACATCGATTTCACGAATACGATCAACAGAAAACTGGAGTTCTTCAACTCGTTGAATCAACCGTTGTTTACCATTCTCGACAAATTGCCACAACGGACTTTGTCCATCCCATAATCGTTGTTCAAACATCTACACATGATAATAATAATGAATGGAAAGAGAAATATTTCAATAATAATAATAATAATAATAATAATAATAATAATAATAATAGTAATGATTAAATAATGAATACAAATATATAAAATGTAACAATATTAAAGTTGAACTAGAGTTCTGTTTCAAAATTGACATTGTAGTTAGTCGACCAGTCAGTCATTTATCATGTTCCGTAGTCAGCTGATCAACACACACAATAAGACATACAGATTACGTAACGCTTTGGATAATAATGTGAAACAATTGAAAATTGCAATTTAAGTTGCGTGTAACATTGCAGTACAATCGATTTACGTGTGATTTTCATTTTTATATTGAATTAGTAATTTGCAATAATGGTGGTAACAAGTAACTTGTTATTAGCCATCAAAAATGTAAGAGTTTGTATTGATGTCTGGTTGCCCAAGTTGATATAGAGATGGAAATAGTGTTTTTGAATCTACAATGCATTAGCTGAAAGTTAAATAACTCAATCAGTTAGGTACCGATTGTTAGTTATTTTCATAACTAATTGTAGTTATGCCATAACTAACTAATCAGATTGTGGTTTAAGCGCCCATCACGTGATCTGATGTGACATGTCTGTAAACCTTCTTTGTTGTAAATGACCTACAAATTGATTGACATTATTATCCTATTATATTGATGTGACTCATAACTGTACTCATTTCCATAAGACACGCTATATTGGTCGGTACGTTTGCTCGTCTTACTTGATAATTGTAATTTCCTTATTTATTGTACTAATGTAATTGTTTTTTATGTTTAGAAACAGATAAAGTTTAAAACAAAGTTGATCTTATTCTTACTACAGCTTTCCCCCATAGACTCTGTGCTCGCCAGTATTGCGTTTACTGTTCTAGAATTACATTTGTAGGACAAATTAAATCCCACACCGATTTGTCATTCGATATTATGGATAATGTCAACTTTGTTGAATATTCATTCCCTCATGATTAACTATTCATGCACTCAGTCAATAGACTGATGATCCGATCCATTTAAATAATATTCGGTTGTGATTTGACAATCAATTTTTCTCGAGTGAATTATCAGTTCAGTAATCCTAATTGATAGAGTAAAGCATCATTATGCAATGAACGAAACTTAGATAAGTGCATCCCCTAGCAGCAATGTGATAGATCGCACAATTATTGTAAACCTTGACTGGCTACTGAATAGTGGCAGTTGATTTTCCATGTTTGTTTAGTCAGTTTATTGATGGTGATGATCAGATCTATCGATCAAGTCGCACTAATTTATCTGACTTAGTGTCACATCTCTCATCTTAAGACGCTAGGTGTTTTAAGATAGTTATTAAAGACATTGAGTTACATGTTTCTGAATTGGTAGCAATGGTTTAGATCCCGTTCATTTGACTTCCACTACACATTCTCCTGAAATCATATGGTCTATGTCTGGTTAATTCTACTACCACTGATACTAATACTACAGTTTTCTACAATCTATCTCCATAAATTCATCTCGCTTTTTCAGTAAGCTACGATAACTAGAAACGACACACATGAACTCATATTACGGATTGGCTAACTGAAAAACTCTCCTTCATACCAAGATGATTGATTAAAAAAACTGATCATTTTTGAGATTTATCTACCTAGCTCCCAGGTTGAAAAACTAATAATTCTTAGTATGAAAGCCGTCGAGATGATAGACAGTAAGAAGAAAAACATCAAATACACGTTTTTCATACTCATAGTTCAAAGCTACTATGAAAAAGTGCTATTCACGTTAGACAATGTTACAATAACAATAATTAAGAGTTCAAACAACACATTTTATGAATCAAATTACGAGTATTTGGTAATATTATACTTAGAACACAAATATTGTTTTCGATTAGATCGTCATCAGGCTTTACTCTAATATACATGAATATTTATACTTGAAAATGTTATAACCAATCAAGGCAATTTGAGTGATAATCACAATGAAATAGGAATTCGTACATTCAACCCCAATTTATGTGTTCAGAAGAAATTCGTGACACCCCTATCTCTTCAGTGGCCGAACATGACGTAACTAACGACTGATAGTAGTAAGAAAATTATTGTATATATCTGATTTTATTTTATCTTTATTTTTACATATTTGTTTATTACGTAATGGTTTCGATGTTTTTAATGTTTATTTGACCTACTATTGATAAAACTTTAGTTTGCATTACGGGGTTGTGAAGATTGTTAAGTTACCTGTGCTCACTAGTGACTAGCTTCGTGAGGAATCTTCTCCAAGTTCTAGTGGGAAGACGTGACCAGTGAAGTTCAACCTGTTCGGGTGTAGACAGTAACTACCGAAGACTGTGTATGAGGTTGCGCAACTCCGTGAATTTGATCAAGTTAGACATTAACACCGTTAGATGCCGGCTCAGTGGTCCACAGGTTAGGCGTTCGTGCACAATACCGAAGGTCCTGGGTTCGAATCCTGCGGGGTGCAGGAGTCGTGGATGCGCACTGCTGAGGAGTCCCATACCAGGACGAAACGGCCGTCCAGTGCTTCCAGGTTTCAAATGGTGGTCTAACATTGATCGGTTCATGGTTTCAAAAATAGAAAACTTTAGTAATCATATTTTATAATTTTCCTACTACTATCGGTTCATCTATCTTCCTACTATCCACTTGTACTTCTGCCTTTTTCATTTCATTGTGATTATCACTCAAACTGCCTTGATTGGTTTAACATTGTCATATAAATATTCATGTATATTAGAGTAAAGCCTGATGACGATCTAATCGAAAACAATATTGTTCTAATTTTCATGATGGGAATCTTTAATACTAATATTATACTTACCTTGGCCAACGTCAATGTTACACTAGTACAATGTGACCAACCTTGACGTAATGAAATTTCAAATAAATATCTTACTAGCCGTCCAGCATTTTGTTGAACAAAATTCATATCCGACGAAAGTGAATGACAACTAGGAATATGACGACTGATATAACCTTGTAAAAGTGCATTAACTTTTGCTACAACATCTGTATCAACTGTACCAGCTTGTTGAATTGGTAAATGACAAACTTTATTTTTAATATCAATCAATTCGACACCTTCTTCTTCACGTACCTTGTAAAAATATGTAATAACCAATTGATAAAATCAAAAAACACATCACAGAAGATGTTGGCCTACATAATAAAATATCTTATGTAATCATATTGATCAGATTATGACGCTTGATAATAAACAGAACAGATTGTGATAACTGGCACATACTAGTTAGATACTAAAGAGGGAACAATAACTACAAGCTTGAAATGTTTGACTTCAAATCACTAGATCGCATATTATAATCCTCCTCTACCTGTTGTAGCTTGAGTAGTTAGCATTATCGCATTAGCCTCCACATATAAAATGTGACTTAAAGACAAGTACATGAATTTTTTACTAGACAACTTTACATTTATTATAGTGTACATCATTTTCCTCATTGATAAGAGGTATATGATAATGATCTGCTTTATAAAATGGTTGAACGTGATTGATCAGGGAATCCTGTACCTAGGTTTTATGCGATTAAGCGCTTGTGAGCAAAGTACGCTTGTAATCTTGAAGGAACTGTTGCTCTCTGGCCGATTCAATTCTGTTACTTAGTTTCAAAGTCAGGGATGTTACAAATGAGTTGATCAGACAACGACCGATCAGCTGTATATATATTTACAACTAATAGGTCAATGAGTATTGACTAATGCTATGTTAAGATAATGAATAACGCTGAATGCATTCTATCGATCATATCGTAATGTGGCTACAAGTATAAGTAAAATCGATAATGCCACGGAGCATCAGTAACCCGCAAAAATTACAGATATATCTTGTCAACGAGTGAGAAATGGTAATGAAATCTATGTTCAAGTGTTTCCAGTCAATTACTCTCAACCGGAACAGTAGAATTTTCCTGATAGCATAACTTGAGTTAACGAATTAAAATTTCTCATTTCTACGCACATGTTTATACATAAACTCCGCCGAGGGTACTGAGGGCTACAGACGGTTCGAAGCCCGGATAAAGTAGGAAGGTTAAAGTAGAAAATTAACTCGTTAAAAAAACGCTAACCAGGAAAAAATAATTCAAACAATTTAAGGTCTTCATTTAGAAGACTTATAATGTCTCATGATGAAAGCCGAGTTCCTTCAGAAGTCACGAGATGATGCCCCACTGACAACCAGAGTAACCATTGTTTTAGGTACATGGAATGTTCGAAAAACAAGGGAGGTCGGTACAGTGATCCAAGTTGCTGCAGAAATGAAAAGTACAATCTGCAGATGCTTCGAATCAGTGAAACACATTGGATGCAGGTCGGACATCTAAGACTATCTCCAGGAGGAGGCAATAACCTCAACGTATCATTAGATTCTGGGTCACAAGAAGCACCATCACTAGGAATAGATCACTGTTCACACACCGGATAAGATTCATGAAAGGTGGAACAAGAAGGAAGCAATTAACACCAGCTGAACAAGAGCACAGGATGCCAAGGCACATGCTGAATACACAGAAGCAAGCAGACACGTGAAGAAGAGCATCATAGTCGACAAACGTAAATATGTGAAAGAGGCTGCAAGAGGAGGAAACATGAGATAACTGTATGAAAACGTAAAAATCTGGAGGGAAACACGGGATACAGTGGATAACACGGATGGAGCTGGACTATCTAGACTTCACAGATGATTTGGATTGACCATCTCACACACTACGACAAATGCAAGAGATGATGAGTGTAGCGGCAGTCTCAGCAGCGATAAGTTTCAATATACACAAAGGGAAGAGCAAGATTCTCCGGTACAACGTAACACACACCAACCAAATGACACTTGACGAAGAAGCTTTAAGAGATGTAAAAACCTTTACATACCTAGGCAGCATCACTTATAAACAAGGTGGATTTGATGCAGATGGAAAGACACGGATCGATAAAACAAAGGCAGGATTTCTATAACTGAACAACATTTGGAAATCGAAACAACTGTTGACAAACAAAGTCAGAATTTTCAATACAAATGTAAAAACAGTTCTACTGTATGTGACGGAAACTTGGGGAACTACGAATGCCATCATCCAATAGATTCAAGTGTTTATTAACAGTTGTCTATGCAAAATACTTCGGATTCGCTGGCCAGACTCCATGAGTAACAAACCAACTGTGAAGCAGAACAAACCCGATTCTAGCAGAGGAAGAAATCAGGAAGAAGCGCAGGAAGTGGATAAGACATATATTGAGGAAGGTATCCAACTACGTCACAAGAGAAGCCCTAACCTAGAATCCTCAAAGCTAATGGAAAAGAGGAATACCAAGTTCAAATCAATAACACAGACCTTCATAGATGCAAATTCTGATGCTTCACTTAACATTGTAAATATTTGAGGAATCATCATTGTTGGTTCTAGGGCATCTTTAACCATAGCTGCAGTTGCATAACGTATATAAAATAAACTCGCTGTACGTCCACGATCTGTTGATGCTAACTGGCCAGTAGCTGGTTCATAACGTATCATTTCAGCAGAATCTAAATCAGTAGCACAAGTACGTACAAAACGTCCTAAGAATTCAACTAGATCCGGATCACGCTGTTGTTAATTGAAAAAAAAACAAGAGGAAAAAAAATTCAGTGCTGAAAGTTTTATAGAAAAGTAATAATAATGGAGGAAATATATGCATTTTGCACTGTTTGGGACCCGTAATAGCTGAATAAATTTACATACCACCTACAGTTGATGCTCAACTCCGGGAGTCAAACCTAGTCGAAATGCCAACAACTGGATAACCAAAACCATAACAAATTACGCGTAATATCTTTATGGGAAATCTATTCTAGATATCCAAACAAATATATACAATTGATAGCCATTAATTCAAGTGATCAATTAGGTTTTGAATCTTTTTAAAATTGAAATGTCAATGTTAAACCTTCATAAACTCAAGGATTTCCAGACATGTGACTATTTAACACTTCTTGGTTGTCGACACTTTAACAGGATAATTTTTCTTGGAAGACTGGATTAGGGATAGTCTAAGAACGAAACTACAACGTTTGAAGGATAATCATTCGAGCCCAGTAATGTATAAGCATTTCGCAATTAATTTTGATGTGTTAACACTGAATATTTCAAATCACACTGTTAGCCTATTAGGCACCTATGCTAGGCTGCCATCGTATGAGAGGAATCATAATCAATACATGCTGTTGGAGGAACTCGGTCAAGGTCTTGACCTATAATATATCCATGTACAAATCAGAGAGAAACCTAAATCACCATTAATGGCTTACGTGCATTTTGATGGTATTTTGTTCATTACAGTTTCTCAAGTATATCCTTTATCTTCTCATTTGTGTATAACTAATTGTGTAACTCTATTGTGTGTGTGTGTATGTATTTGAACTAAATAAAGCGAAATTTAACAAATATGCTAGTTCATAGAGCAATGTTATTGACTGGCCTACAATTGGATTCATAATTGAATACTTACTTCAAGAATAGCTGTAGTTAATCCATAATGCAGTGGATTTTGTCGTAATCGTATAAATAAATAAGTGTAACTTAACCATGTTACAGCTTCATCAATATTCGATACTGTACCTAAAGCAATCTGAAAACAAGGAAAATATATTTCGCTCTTTTTTTGTTAAATCAAATTACAAAATGACAAAAATAAAAAACAACTTCATCATAACTAGATTAAATTATTTACTTCATGCTACTGTCATCATTCTACCATAACAACACTGTAAGATCCATTTTTTTGAAGGCTTTGTGTTGTGAAAATCGTTCCATGTATACATTTGTAATTTGTGTTTGTTTAGTGGTTCCTTCAGTTGTACATTTTGTTAATCTGTTCGATTCCATTTTTGAGATGATAATATTTGTATTTTATTATAATTTCTATTTCTTCTGCTTTCTCTGAGTTTCTATGCTTGTCTTTCTGAACTGCATTAATGTTGTTTAGGCTGATACTTATTAGTCATGGCGACTGCCATATTGATTAGTTCCTCTTTTGATTGGATTGCTTGCATGGACTGGAATTGTGTATTTTGATTGTGAATTGAAGTACTCTGCCAGAATTGGAAACACTCTGTGTTATAAAGCAACCAAATATTATCTGTCAAACGAATCTGATCTATTCAGTAGAGATAGAATATCATTTATTTGTTGCTGTTGATTTGATTAATTGAACAATTGTTGGTGGAATAACTAAGTGGTAATATTTGTTTAGGTAATGATGTATATTTATATTTATGATGAATATTAGAACCGTCACTTACCCAAATCACTAGTTTTCGTTTCAACTGAGCAAGGCGTATATACCTAAACTACCTAGACAGTTATTTCTCAGTCCAAACCTTCGTTTGGATCCTACAAACACTACACCAAACAGTAGGCATATCAGTCAATGCAATAACGAAGAAGGAGGGAATATGAGCCAGAAAACATGATAAAATGACTTGAAGCAAATTACTTATACGAAACCACAGAAAGAAAAATAGAGCAAATTATTACAAACATTAAATGAGTTAAATGAACAATTTGAGAATAGACAAAATCAATGTAGAATTTTGTTGCTGTTGTCATAAAGTTCCGGCGTGCTCTAAATCCTTATTGATACACAACTCGACAGCGCCTTTCTTCATCATCATCTGCCTCTCTCAGTCCAGTAGTCTGTAAACCAGCCCTCCACATAATTCATTCTATTTCTAGCCGACAGAGTTTATAAGACAGGCAGATACAACACAGAACTTCGTACGTAAGTACATCAGTTCAAGTTGTCATGCTCCATCAACAAAGAGACGCAACTGTCAGTTCAAATCCAAGAGTGATAGCAATAATAGAAGCACCTGAGCCATTGCAAACGATTTTCAGCCATGTCATTCAGTGTCTCTAACCACCGGTGACTTATGTCTCACGGACCCCAATCAGGTAACCTACATCTACCAACATGACTCAGTTCATTTGTCAGTGACTTCATGAATTTGTGACATGTTTTGGTTTGGCCGCCACTAGCTTTCTTCCAAGACCCAGCATTCATCGATTGAGCGAGATTCTAATGTTCTAGCTAACGAAGCCTGTTGCCCTATTTGACATAATGTCCGTCCATTAAATGCTCCAACATGTAGTCTAGAACGGAGTTTCAGGACACCAGAAATGACGTTTCGTGAGCTCACATTAGCTGTGCAGTGTGATAAAGGAATGTGAGAAGAGTTAGACGTGGAGATATGAGAGGTATTAGGGGGTGTAGGAAGCATTTGATTTTGACCAATTTGGTATCGTGTGCTGCTGTATCCTACTATGCAATGAGCAAATACATTTACACATGAGCAAGCCTAAAACGTAACTGAGAATAATAAACTAGCATTAGATTAGGAATCATAAAAGAACAAGAGCTTATTACAATAAAAAAAGAATGTAAATATGTTTTAATTTAGTTAATAAATGATTATACGATGAGAATATACATAATGATTATTATAATTCATAAACCGGTGTCCTGGAAGTTACCATTTCTTCAACGCCTTCCTCCGAATTTAGCCAAAATACATGTGTGTAGACTTATTAAGGGCGGAAAAAAAATCGCACAACTTCTACACAACAATGAGTCAATTATTATTTTTTTATTTTAAAATGGATTTTGACGAGAAAAAACAAAACAAAACAAAACACCAATCAAATCAAATTCAACTGACCTCAGCATTTAAATGATCATGTAAATTAGTGAGTAAATTACTCTCGATTGGACCTTGATTTGTAATGAAACGTAAATAATGAGCTAATGTATCATGATTAGTTATTAATGTAGCTTGACCATGAGTATCAAATTGTGGTCGACCAGCTCGACCGAATATCTACAACAACAACAACAACAATAACACACATTGACATTCAAAAAATAAAATTTATTGGGTTAAAAATGAAAAGGAAAAAGAAAAAAGGCATATCAACAAACAGAGAAACTATAAAGAAACAACATGATACAATGAAATCACTCGTAGTGTATTGAACAAAATGTTTAAAACAAAACTAATAGACTGTTTTTACAGTGAAACCAGTTTTCGTACAACACATTATGTTTTAAGGCATGAATTGCAGTTTGAAAAAAAAACAGTAACTATCCAAAACACAAAATACTTCGGATCTGTTGGCTAAACACTATCAGCAACAAGCTACTATGGGAGAGAACAAACCAGATTCTAGTGGATGAAGAAATCAAGAAGAAGCGGTGGAAGTGGGTAGGACACACATAGTGGAAAGCACCCAACTGCGTCACAAGACAAGCCCTCAACTGAAACCCTCAAGGTAAAAATAAAAGTGGAAGCCTAGGGAAACACATTACGCCGAGGAATGGAGGCAGACATGAGAAGAATGAACAAAACTTGGACAGAACTTGAAAGGGAAGCTTAGAACAGAGTAAGTTTAAGAATACCGGTCGGCGGCCTATGCTCTATTGTGGTGGACGTATTTGCACACATAAATATTGATCCAAAGGGACATCTAAATAATTATGCGCCACAAATTACTGAACTTGAATGTGGGCTATATGTAATATTGCTCGAATTTCCAAACAAAGGTGGAGAGTTTATAAGGGAAACACTCCTCGAATGAGTGTGCAACATAAAAATCATTGAATGTTTATTTGGGCTAGAATACTGCCCGGGTACCACCAAACCCGATGCAGGTGATTTCCTAAGTGAGCTACTACTCGAGTCTTTGACCCACAGATGGATTCTTCAAGACAGTAGAACAACGTCATGAGTTACATTCCTGTGGTAGCCAGTAACCAACAACATATTCACACTTCATCCATTCTGTCAGAATACTGAAGACCATATACAGCACTAGATTGGAATCAGAGGATTCCAACTCCCATCAACCCATTTTAGGCACTGGACCTTCATTTTTTGTCGTATCAATTTCATTCACATGCTCAGTTTTAGGTGACATGTTTTTTGTGTGAACCCTATCGACACAAACCAGGTGGTCGAACCAAAAAAGCAGGAGTTGAACAATTTAACTAATAGACATATACAGGAGATCTTAAACATATATTTACAAATCAACTGATAAGACGATCGACGCATAAATTTAATAGACAGGTATTATTTGTATCTAATAATCAGAAAAGCGCATCGTGTCATTGGGATTTTCAAAGGATAGACAGAGAAAGCGTACAGCTACAACGTACAACTTCGTATATACCATACATCAGTTCAAGTTGCCATAGCACATTAGCACACAGAGAATCTTTCTGAAATTATTTGGTACTCGGTATATTGATAGGATCCAGCAACTAGAATCGATCGATGCATATATATATATATATATATATATATATATATATATATATATATATATATATATATATGTTAAATGCTACTATTACACATGAATAACAAATAAGAACAACAAAACTAAGCAATAAATCAAAGTAAGTTGTGCATAGTTTGTATATATATGAAAAAAAAAATCACTCACCTGTAAAACATCCAATATATCTAAATTGACAAAATCGGATTTTTCCGCTTTATAAACTCGTGTACCTTTAATGATAACAGCATGCGCTGGTAGATTAACACCCCATGCTAATGTTGCAGTACAAACAAGTACACGTATATGACCATCGGCGAATAATTTTTCCACAAGACTACGATCAACACGTAACATTCCAGCATGATGACAAGCAAAACCATCAGGAACTAAATCTTTAATTGCAGAATCAGATGATTTTTGTATCTAAAAAAAATAAAAAGTGATTCATGCATTGACATAAAAACATGTGAAATAATTGGATATTATTTATTCAATGCATATATAAATACATTTTCCCTTACATATATACAATACAAAGATCAATAACTTGACATTCAGTCAGTCAGTTGCAACGTACAACTTTGTACATAAGTACATCAGTTCATGTTGCCATACCAAATCAGCACAGAGAAGTATTCGTCAATTCAAATCCAATAGTGGAAGAGATAGTAAGCGAATTAGAAGTAATCGGAGAGGTTAGGATTAGAAGATATTATTCAAGAAGTATGATTCAGTGAGAAAAGTTTAGAGAGTCGAAACTAGAGGTGTTGAAGAATCCAGAAGATTAGCATTTGAGAGAACACAGAGAATAAATGCACCGGCGCCATTGAGAACGATTTTGAGCCATGTCATTCAAGGTCTCTAACCATCGGTAAGTATCATCTCGCGGACCCCAACCAGGTGGTAGTCGACAATTACCGACATGGCTCAGTCCACTCGTCAATGATTTCATGGATTTCTGCCATGTTTTGGTTTGGCCGCCCCTAGCTAATAACTTGATATTAATATTGGAGTTTTCATGAGTTTTAGTTTCGATCATAGAATGATATAAGTTAATCAGTCAACCTCTTTCCCCTACTTATGCTAAAATTATATTTAAAGTATGATTTCTTATAGGGTTTTCTGTGTGGTCAAGTTATTTGAGGCATATTATTTGTATGAGTTTGTAACTGGCTACTGGGTTATAAGAAGCTAGAGGATTATTTGGCGTTCAGATCTTAGCTATTATCTATTGAGTGGTTAATTTATCAGTTGCTAACTAAATCACTGGTTCTACTGGCATATAGATAAACTTACAAATAATCGGAATCTTGGTTTGGCAATATAACACTTAGTGTCGATTAGTGTCTCAATCCACAACGAACTAGCGATCACAAGATACAACATTTTAATTACACATACAATAAAAACTGATGTGTGGTTTTTCCAATGTGACCGATTGATCGTACTACACATATCTTTAGAATGCATAATTTAATTTTATTCATGACTAATAGTTTAATACTTGAAATTTACGACATCCTCTTCATATAATAATGTATACACGTGTAAACCTTATTGTTATGTTCGTCACTAGGTATGCTTGAAGCTATTACGAGTTCACCTTAGTCGATAAAACGCGAACGAGACAATGAACCAGCGTCCAGGTAGGCTACCTTGAATCCCAAGCTGAAGACAGAAGGCTTTGTAAGCGTAGAAAGTATATTCTACAAACACGCAGCAATCACAATACAATCAAGCACACAACTCTCGTTTATTTATACATCATAGAAACGTCCTTGGGACAGTTACGAAAATAGCACACTAAAATACACAGCAGCCAATCACAACCATGGATTTTCCTGGTGGGAAATGAAATCTCAAGGTCAACTGATCAGCCCATGCTCGCAAACGTAAAATCCAAAATAAGGCATTTATCAAGCGACTTCTGGGGATCTAACATCCCCAACACTTAAAAATAAATAAAGATGGGAGCAATAACTGAATGATTTCATAAATATGTAACACAGTAAATTTATAACAAACGAAAAATCGGTGAACATTCGGATCAAGTGATGGGGTGATAAGATGAAACTCCGAAAATGAAACAAAGGAATTTGTCTGCCAAATTACAACACATGACGAAAATCCATCATAAACAACAGGTAATAGAGACCCCGGAAGAATATCAACATTTAAATGTCAGTACGTCTAGATGACGAGTACTAAACTGAACCAAATGCTAGATTACTCCACTCTAAACTAGAATTCACTAGCTCGATAAATAATGAGTTTAGATAATTCATGATCGTTAAGTACTCATTTAAACGTTCACTGTATGACGAACAGGAAATGACTTACTTCAAATAATCACTTCAAGAATGATACCTGAAAACCTATAGTAGATTACGCAACAGCAAATTAGTATGTCGAGATAGCGGACGAGAAATTGAACATATGAACAAGGCTAAACAATACATAGTTGGGCACGTATAAAGAATAAACAAATCTTCAGCGAACAACACAAGAAATAAAGGAAAACTGATAAATGGAATGCAGTAAACGTTACGAATAAATTGAAATAATTAAGATAAACACATTACAATATCAAGAGATGTGATAAGCTATTGATATTTAATAAGTAGTATATGATAATACATGGAAATTTAAAATCAGGCGAATTCAACTTAAAATTGAAAATAAAATCAACCACCAAACGTCCGTCACAAGGCCTACCTTCTTTAAGCAGATCTTCATAGCTGAACTATCATCATTTCTAAAATAATTCATATGACCAAATTGTTGAGCTGATGTACGTAGAGCACGAGCTGTTCGAAATGTATCACCACGTGCATGAACAAATACCATCACCTATGAATATATTTTTAAAAGACAGACAAACAAACAAAAGATGCAAGAAAATAGAAAACTTCCTTAAAGATTTGATTTATATTGTGAAAGTTATAATCAAAGCAAACATGACCATCTAATTCTCAAATAATAACTGCTTAAGTCCGTAATCATGTATGAGATTTGTATAATACATGTTGGTGGAGTGGGTTACTCTCTGAGTTGGTTAGTTTTGATCGTGAAACTTATTCTGAGAAAAAAATATCATCCGCATAAAGTCCATTTAGAATTGGAGTATCCCAAACTTTTTCTACCTATTACCAACAGCTAGCGATGATGCCCGGTGTGGTGCACGCTGGAAGAACGTTAGAGGCGGTCCGACCAAAACATAGCACAAATTCATGAAGTCACTGACAAGTGGATTGAGTCATGTTGGTAGATGTAGACTACCTGGTTAGGGTCCGCAAGATGATAGTAACCGATGGTTAGAGATCTCAAATGACATGGCTTAAAAACGTTTGTAATGGTGCAGGTGCATCCATTGTTTGTACTCTCTTAAATTTCAATCTTCTGAATTCCTCATGAACTTGTTTTCTCCCTCTTTTTTAAATCGATTCTTCTGGGATATACTTCTCAAATGATAACTCCAATCACTAATCTTTTTTATTACGGCTAATACTTCTATTAAGTCTACCGCTATGGGATTTGAATTACCAATATGATCTGTGTGTGGTAATGCGGTATGACAAAACACAGAATAACCATTGAGCCAATGAATACAAATATCCAATAATTTATGACTAAATCCTACAAACAAGTAACAAATAGGATGTAACACATCCATCCGGTATTCAATTACAAGCTACATACTAAATAATAATAATAATAAGAAGAAGAAGACATGAAGATGAATGCCTAATTTACCTGTTCACCTTGTTTAACTTGTTCTAAAACTTTCTCATAACAAATTGTACTCATATTGAGATCTTGAACTTTACGATTTGATCCACGAATACCAATAAATGACATTGCTAATGGTACAGGTCGAAAACGTGAATCAAAATAGAATAAACCACGTTGTAGATTAACGCATAGAAATCTAGCAACATCAATATAATTTGGTAGAGTAGCTGATAGACCAACTAAACGAATCATTGTTTGTGAACTTTCAACCTGAACAGGATAATAATAATAATAATAATAATAATAAGAGGAAGAAGAATAAGAATAGTTAATTGTCTACAACGTACAACCTGGTACAGATTAACAAAACTTCAAGATATCATATCTCATTAACACGGTGAAATTAAATTATCATTGCGAATCACAGAATAGAAAAAGGAAGTAACAGTATTAGTAGTAATAGAAGAAATTAGGCATCGAACTTATTGAGTTGAGAAAATATGGATCGAATGGGGTGAAAATTTACAAGGTAGTTTAGAAACCACAGATTCAAGGAAAACAAACAAAGAATGTATATGTGCCATTAAAGGAGGAGTTATATTGTTTAGTCTCCAGATATAATTGCGCAGATCCCAACTAAGTGAACACTGTTCAGTGCAACAGTCACCAACCCCGTAGACTGATGCCACCTCTTGAATTGATTGCCCCTTGCTTTCTACCAACCTATTCCTCTATACCAGCCATCATTGTGCATCGAGGTAGGTAGTAGTTTGGAATATATAATATATATGTTGGGATAGCCATCGAGAAGGTCCACCTCGACAAACTTGGTGACGCCGCCAAAGTCAGAATCCTCTTGAGAAAGCTTGACACAATCGAACACGAACAGTCATCTCTCTTTAAACATCTCGCTACAAGAAATAACTACAGAGTGTCAGAGATTAGTAAATTTGAAGCATGATACCTCCATGGTCGAAAACAATAACCGACCATCATGCGTGCATGCTGTTAGTGAAAAGAAAGATTCTGGCTCACAAAAGCACAGACAACCAGCCCTCATCCACATGCTGGTCATGTGGAGGTTGGCACTACAAGAAGTTTTGTCCATACAAAGAATATTTTTGCACTAAATGTCACAAAAAAGGCCACAAAGAAACCCTATGTAGGAAAAAAACTCGCAGACATTACTCCGCGAAAGTCTATTCCAAGAAATACAGATCTGGTAAGACAATAAACAAAGTATTGGTGTCTCATAACCAGACAAGAATTCACCACAGAAGTATGTGACTTCGGATATGAATACACACCGTATCCGTCTTCAACTTGACACAGCATCTGACATCACCCTTATCAGTCCAAAAACTTGGGAGAAAATTGGAAGACCTACAGTTCACCAAACGAGGCAACTAGCACACAGCGCATCTGGTGGCAATCTAAATATTGTTGGGGAAATATTGTGCACTGTTTCAAAAAATGAGGCAACAACGAGTGCAACTGTATACTTAACTAAGAACCCAGACCTCGATTTATTGGGGTTGGATCTGATAGATGCATTAAAATTAGCAGACTATCCTATCAACAATATCTGCAGCCAAGTTAGAATCAATAACCCTTAAGAGTCACGTCTGAGAAATGCCATTATAAAAAGGCACCATCACGTATTTTTGGAAGCGTTGGGCGAATGTACGAAAGCCAAAGCACTACTGACTCTCAAGTCAATAGCTATTCCTGTTTTTCGACCAAAAAGACCTATACCTTATGCTTCTCTCCCAGTAGTTGAACAGGAACTGGTACGACTTCAAAAAATGGATGTTATTGAACCTGTGAGTTTCTCCAAATGGGCTGCACCGATTGTGGTGGTCAAGAAGTTAATCGGCAGTGTCCGTCTATGTGCTGATTACTCTACTGGACTGAATGATGCTCTAGAACCCCACCAGTATCCCTTGCCTATACCTGAGGATCTTTTCGATAAGCTAAATGGAGGCAAGGTGTTTGCAAAACTGGATTTATCGGAAGCTTATTTACAGATTCCTGTCGCTGATGAAAGTAAAGATCTGCTTACTATAAACACACATAAGGGCCTATTCCGATATAATCGGTTAACTTTTGGAGTCAGAACGGCGCCCTCCATATTTCAACAGGTGATGGATACTATGCTACATGATCTCCCTAGCGTTGCAGCTTACCTGGATGACATGATAATATTTTTGAACGAATACATTTACGACACTACGCAACCAACGTTTAAAGCATCTAACGTCGTTTGACTCCAATGGATAAAGTTTCTTACCACATTTACGTAGACTGCCCTTTTGGCGGACCCATGAAGATTACATTATAAGGTATTGTAGATACTGTTGAGTTTGAAGTTTCACACCATGGAATGACTTCGGTTAGATCATTTGAAATCACCAACGATAATACCTGAAGTGCCTAGATTCAACGCTCGAACAGGTAATGAACTAGTAGTGTTGGTGAATTTCATACTGGAATGAAACAACTCTCCAGTACATACTTATGAATTATAGGTTATGACATAATCAATAATAGCTTACTTGTCGAAGAGTACGTGCAACTAAAGCTTCAATAACAGCACCACGTTCTTCGTGTAATAAATGAACTTCATCGATAATAAGTAATTTGACTAATTTAACTAAATTAGCATCTCCAGTACCTTTACGTGAAATGACATCCCATTTTTCTGGTGTACTAACAAGCATCTAGAATTATACAGTAAATAATAATAACAACATTTGTTATTACAATATATAATACAGATTATTTAACAAGGAAGAAAAATATTAATTGATTAATTATATATTATTATTAGTAATATTTGTAACTGAACAAAAAAGGCTTTTTTTCGTTTTGCCACAATATACTACTATAATACGACAATACAACGTTCATAAATCTAGAGAGTCGATCAATTTGATATACACACACAAGATGCAAGATGCACAGGCAATAATATAACGAACCGAAATACAACTTAAAGACTACTTTAGTCATTGTAATTCATGACACTCAATGAATTCAGAGAAGAGATCAAAATACCGAAGGAAATTTAAGTTTTTAGAAGTCAAACAGCTGACTGTCCGTCTGTTCATTCTTAGTGGCCAATCATATGTAACGAGCCCCACACATTCATTGTTGGATAAGAAACACTTTGAACATAAATTCAACCCGACGAGAATAAAATGTCATACATTTGAAGAGGTAAAAGCATTTATCAGAAATGAATTTATCATAGTTGACTTCTTCAAACCAGCATACACTAACGTTTCTTTCAAACAAGAATTTGAAACGTTGACCTCTTGAAACACAATCGGGTCTGAATACAATAATCGATATTTTTTGAATTCTATACAATATTCAATGATGCATGGTCCCAATATAATGTGACTTGTTGAAGAATTCTAAGCCAGAAAAAAGCAACCAGCTATTTAGAGATCTTTGGTTTTCAAAAATTATTTAAATTATATGCCAATCAGGTGACGCTGTTCATCGTTAGGTTTGATAATATGCTACTGTATGAAATCGCGAATCGATCAATGTTAGGCCACCATTAGAAATCTGGAGGCACTGGTTGGCCATTTCGTCCTGTTATGGAACTCATCAGCAGTACGCGACTAAGAGGATTCGAACCCAAGACCTTCGGTGCTGTTCGCGAACACCTAACCTTTGGAGCACTGAGCCAGTATCTAACGCTGTTAATGTGTAACTTCGATTAATCCACGGTCTTGTGCAACACAACATTCACTGTTAATTGGTTATATACTAGAACTAAGCTGACAAGTTCTAAACAGGATAAAATAAATACACATCACAGATCCCATCTGTAACTACTGCTCTAACTTTACTAAAACATTAAGATAGTTCTTTTTTGGGAAACAACTAAAAAAATTTAGAGTAATTTTTAGAAAAAAAGAAACCGAAATAAGCGAGAAACAATTTGCTTACTTGAGTTTCAAGGATCTCTTGTTTACTTAATTGTATATCACCCGTACATTCTCTAACACACACGCCTAAAGGACTGAGACGTTTTGAAAATGTATCAGCCATTTCAGCTGCCAATGCTTTCATTGGAGCTAAATAAACAATCTGAAATATGCAAATGAACAGTTTGAGAATCGCCCCCCCACCCGGCGGAAAAATATTCAAAAATGAATTAAACAATTTAATTATAAATTAAAATAATGGTGGACTGATGTATCAGTAACAGATTAATTACTTCAAAAATGTGTTATTTGTAAATTGGAATGATCATTTACAAAAGATTAGAATGGTTAGTTATATAGTCAATAGAATAATAATAATAATAGACTCCGACGTAGTCAGCAAGAAAACCCTTTAACTATGACTGGATTTTAAAGGGTATATAGTGGGTGACTTTTTAACAAATCAACTGAAATAAACCTATTGAAATGATATTCAACGCCTTTGAGTTACATGTGATCTCAACTCAACCAGTAATTGAACAACATATAAATTGTTGTGAAGCGGGAAATTGTTGGGGATGTTATATCCCCAGAACTCGCTTCATAAATATCTTTATTTTAGATTTATTTTATGGACCGATCAGTTGACCTTGAGATCACATTTCCCACCAGGAAAATCCTTGGCTGTGATTGGTTACTGTGTTATTTTAGTGTGCTATTTTTGTGACTGTCCCAAGGACGTCTCTATAGAGTATAAATAAACGCAATTTGAGTGCTTGGATTCATTGTGTGCTGGCTAGGTGTTTGTAGAATACAATTTCTACACTATATCAAGACTTCTTTCTGATTCAATTTGGTCAAGGGATCACAGTAGCCTACCTGGACGCTGGTTCATTGTTTTGTTCTCGTTATTCGACTAAGGTGAACTCGTAATAGTTTAAGCATACCTAGAGACGAGCGTAACAGAAATATAAAGAGGCAGTGACAAACAATGGAAGCTTATTTTGGAGACATTATTGTATCTAATTCAAAGCCTGCTAAGTACTGGCATTTATTTTTGTTTCCATATTATTCGGTAAATCCTACGGTAAATCATACTTTGTTTTATTCCAAAAGTAATGTAACACAGACGTTTTCTGCTCCGAAACGGCTAGTTTAGGCATAACTGAATTTTCCTAAACACATGTGCACTGTGCTTTTGCAAAGTATATATTTATCCATGTGTCATTTTATGTAAATCGAATCCAGAATAAATCGAGTAGTGTTCCAGACGGTTGGTTTTCTCTCTCTATCTCTCGGTTGCTAGTCTATCCAGTGATGGAACAGTTTCATTCCTTCTGCAAAGGTTGTTTAATCATGACTGAACTTATGTGTTACCACTCGCAAGGTTAAATAGATCGCCTAGCGAATCAAGGCTGGTAAACTAGATTGAGACAAAATTATTTCCAATGTATTCATGACAGACGGTTCAAGTATGAAACATAAAGTGTTTGAATATTTGATTATTGACTTTTCAATCGTTTCAGGACAATAACGCAGTCAGTTAATTTTCTAGAATTCTGTGAACAATTTCAACAGAACACAATATTTTCGACCTCTTTGCAACAGCATCCATATGAGTAGCTTACAAACCAAATCAGCATTATTGATGACCATATAATGAAAGACGAATCCGCCTGAAGCCCTTCCTTTCTAGCTAGGGTTACTGCAATCCCAAGTACAAGTAAAAGAGAGATAATGAACATGGTGGTAATCGACCTGGCCTCGTGAAAAAGAGCCTTTCTAAAATAAAAACGCACTAAAACATAGTGAAAGATAACCTTGTGTAGAAGAGATTGATAGGAATTCGCCTATCACTATTCTCATTCCTTCATTCCACTGTGGAACCTCAAAACAAATAAACTGAAACTTGTGATAGAGACTGTATTGATTTACGATTAGTTCACGAGGTATACACGTTAATAAAGGCTGATCAATTGCAATTATGAATTTGAACAAGGGAAAATGATTGATGATTACATAATCTAAGGGTGCTTGATTAAGAAAAAGCGGTGAATTCTAGAATCATCAAGCAAGTTGTTGTGAGATTCAATTTACTTAGAACTGATTAGCCATTGAATAGTGAGAAATTTCATGTTCATCTAGTCGAAGACTAGTGCCAAGCAAATTCTGTCAAGTTGAATTGTAATCTGGTCGGAATAACTCAACATCCCCTAGGCTTTGTTTTGATATTTAAGTAGTTGAAGGTGGTAAGAAACTTTGAATCTAGGTCCTGTGCTTGTCAAAACGTGCCAGCATTCGTATTTGGAATCTTTAGCGAACTAATGGGTTTTTGAATTAAGGTCATTGAGTTCTAGAGTCTCAGATGTTATTATGACTGAGCTGTTCGGTTCAAACACTTATTCCCTTAAGATTGTATTGCTGACAAGTTCTAGTAAGTAAGAAATTTAAGTGAAGTAAGGTTTCCTGTTGACTACCCCCAGATACAGATGTCTGTTATGCATTTGTATAACTGAAAACCCGTATTATCAATCATCTACAATAACTAGTAGAATAACTTAATAAAATTGAAGTGAAACAATCCGAAAATTAAAAGCTACTTACTTTAAATGCTTTCAAATCTAAAACATTATCACCTTTTAAATAAGTACGAAGTAACTGAACAATGGTAAGCAATGCCACATTTGTTTTACCTGCACCAGTTGGAGCTGAGATTAATAGATTCTCTGATGTATGATAAGCAAGTGGATAGACAACGGATTGAATTAAATTTAATTCTTTTATACCATGAAATACCTTTTGACCAATCTATATAATTAATTTTTAAAAAAAAAAATATTAACCAATTAAAAGATAGAAGTTGACTTTAAAAAACCACATTTTTTATAGTTTACATAATGAACCAATTAGCCCAAGACAATTGTTATATTTCAGTACATGAGTTCCATAGCAGTATGCATCCGCAAACCCACTACTGAGTCATGTTGGTAAGCGTCGACTAGCTGGTTTTGGCCCACGAGACGATAGTAATCGATGGTTAGAAAACCTGAATGACATGACTCAAAACCGTTTGCAATGATGCAGGTACATCCATCCTTTGGCTTCTCTCAAATCTTAATCCTCTGGATTCTGCACCACCTTTATCATTTTTTTTAAGTTTATTTCACTAGATTCTACTTTTTAGATAATATCCTCAAACCCTCATCTCTCCGATTACTGCTAACACTCCTACTACCTGAACTACTATGGGATTTGAATTGACAATTCAATCTGTGTGCTAATGTGGTATGCCAACTTGAACTGATGTACGTATATACGAAGTTCTATGTTGCTGTTGATGATTACGACTGACGATAGACTATGAGACATTTATGTCTAATGGTGGGAGAGATTAACCTATAGACCACATTTTGAACGTCTCATACAAGAACGAATCAGCTTACTAGTGTTTTTTAAATTAGCATTGATGTTTAATTAAGCTTTCAAGAGAATATTATACACTTGATCTTGCTCTTCAGAATTTGATGCAAGTGGTAAGAACGGCAAAACATAGAGATAACACGATAAAAATAACTTGCAAAATGTCATGTGTGACAAATAGGTTTTCTTTGATGATCGTGTTCATGCTTCCAGGCTAGCCAAACTATCACACTTAGCTAGTATCAAATCGGGTAGTAGGTTTTTATAATCAGGATATTAGAATTCGTTGTCATCAACAAATATTGTATATTCAAAACCTTCCTTCAAGACCAAAACATAATTGAACTCACTTAGGAGAATTAGATTTATTCTTCCTGCATCTAAAGTCTCCACGACCTCCAAGAATAAAATAAATAACTGGCTCTACTTAATCATTAAAATATTCTCTCTCATTCTGATCCCACTCATTTTTATTCTGCTAATGTGAAGACTTAAAACCATACTAAACATACGAAAACTAAGATCCTGATGAATATTTTGACCAACACTGATGTTTGTCAACCAACGTCGCCAATCTTTGGTTACGATAAACGCACATACCTCAACCAGGTAGTCTGCACTAACCAACATGAAAAAACCAGCATCTACTGATCTCACAGACTGATGACATAACTTCGTTTAACTATTCTTAGATTCCTCCCAGACATGGTCGACGGCCTGTGCTCTATTAAGGAGAATAGGTGTAAGTAAATTAAAAGTAAGTTCTACGTGAACTAGGATTGCATTCCAAAACAGACAGTGGTCGAGCATATATATTGTGTGTTCCAGCCCCCACAGTCGACGGGAATTGTACTTGAAGGTGTACTATCATCTGTTTATAGATACTACACGTAAATTTAAAATTTGTAAATAATAACAACTTATGTGAACTTCAATCGTAGTAATTTACATTATTTCTGCACTACTTATGGCTACTATCATTATATGTTACATTATTTAATGAAAGCAACTTATCAATAAGGGTACATCTTTCAAGAAAATATGTAGGTTAGATGAAGAGAGTATGCATTAATCTCTGAAACCAATCACTATACAAAAAATAATGACCAGATGAAAACAATCAAATCACATAATCAATATAATAATCTGGTTTCATTGTTTAGGTTTGTGAACAGATTTTAATCATTTAGACCGAAAACAGACTGTTAAAGATATTTAGCGTCATAACTTATCCTAGTCAGGTGAATAAATTTTGGAACATTCTATAACCATATACTTAAATATATATGAATGCCAAATGTTTGGGTGGAGAATGAGTCGCTCACTGCAACGCCTAAATGTCCTGGACACAAGCCCCGTTGGGGCATCGTGGATAGGTGTTTGTTAAAGAATCATGCAATAGGATGAAGAGATTATCTAGTGCCTCCCAGTTTGAAGCAGCTGTCTACACAAATTTATTCCATGATATGAATCTGTGAAATGAGGCAAACTGAACAACCGTTCGGTGTTAAGTTCGTCTGAACCCACTGCCTTCCTTTCCACTCAACTCATTCCTTTGTATTGACTTATACTACTTGTTATTAGTTAGTAATCAAATGTATTTTTGATAAATTTTGGACGTCCGTTATAACAAGTTTGTTGTGTAATCATTCTAAAACGTTTTCAAAGAGTGGTAACATTTACAGTATTTATTAGGGTAATTACATTCTCTTAACCATTCTTAACAGAGATTTTCAGTTTTCGTGCATCTCTTGAATCTTTATTTAAGCGTATAGGCTATTTTGTATTTTTAGTTCTTTGGTTGTTGACAGTCATTAATTGATATGAAAAACACTGCTACCAGCGGTAATGTAAGCTGTTGTGTGTTGTGAATAACTTTTATGTTACTATTACAGGAAGCCTTTATCTTTGCAAATATACAGACGTGTTAATTTTGACAGATACCTTATGAATAAAGTTATACAATCAATTTTTTATATCTTTTAAGCAATGATGGATAGTGGCTAGGAGCAGAATCCACGACACGTGTTATTTGGGACTAGTCCACTGGATGTATCTGCATCCCAGAGTTGATGTTTACTCCGAGACCTGAACCAAGTACCATTCACTCTAAAATCCATTGCTTTATCCACTCAGTTACTAAGTCTACATTGTCACTGGCTTATGTAATGGGGTGAAGTTTAATTCACTTGTATTAGTTACTTGAATCTTCACACTTATGTTAAAGACTGCTATTGATTAGTCAACAATTTATATATACTTCTTAGAAATAAAACCGTTCTTTAGATGAATCGTTATTTTCGAATCTCGGTTTTTTGCACATATTTCAATCGTGTAGTTGGACGTTTCGACAGAATAAAAAAAACCAGTATGTATCTTATAATTACTCAAGTTAAAAAATCCTAACGTAAACAGATATATATATATATGACAATCTTGATAATAATAACTGACACTCATAACTTACATCATCTAAAGAACTAATTTTAACTCGTTTCACACCAAGTAAATCTTCCGGTGGTTTAGTGGATAAAGGAAAGTCGACTTGATCACATAATTGCAATTGTTTATACTTTACATTTTCCGGTAATAAAAGCTAACATGAAAAGAAAAACATACACACATATTTGACTGGATTAGAAAACAATTTAATTGGAAAGCCTACAGATAGAAAAATGCTATCCTCATGTTACATTAATTGCAAAAGTTGGTAAGTGTTCATTAGTTAAATGAAAACAAACTGTTGATAGCATTGTGTTTCATCAGCTAGATGATTCAATTAAGGAACGTTCATTATTGTTCTGAACAACAGTAGCAGCAGTTGCACTTCATACACACATGAGCTACTCCCAATTTATTCCGCAAGTATCATGTCAATTCGTTATGATTATCGTGTTTGTGACTGGTCATTTCCACATGTTTTTGCATTCATGTTAATTGAACTTTTCTGTTTACCACTGACTATGTGGTTGAATGACCTTCCATAGATGTATCGACAGTATCTTAATTGCTTCTAGAAATTCAGTGGCATTATTACTATCCCGATTCGTAATTTCAACATCCTTCTAATCGAATTCATGTCCAAGGTTGTTCATGTTCATCGATATCAGTGCTAACAACATATCACACTGCCTCACTGATAATCTACGTTTATATGTTGGATAGGTGAAAGGAGCATCTATTTCGCTCAACATAACATTCCTCTTAGTCTAGTTTGTAGTCGTTGTATTTGTCTTATTAAGTTGTTATCTTTCAGTCTACATAAAATGTATCCAGCGGGAAATACAAATAATTCATAAACCACAATATGATTAAAACTAAATCGGTTGAAATAAATATGTGACAGATTTTGAATGAAACTAATTTAAAACTATCTGAAAGGAGGTCGATCGGACAATTTTATGCCTAGACATTGGATACCAGAAGATTATGCAAATATCGTTACGTAAAACAGATAGGTTACTAATGTAATGAATGATGGCGCTATTAAGTTACACCACAGTAAATATACCACACTTAGGATAACATAAAGTTTAATTTCACTGACATCAATATTATCAGTACACACATTTAAATCTTAAAAATAAAATCTGCATAATCCAAACCCTTAATATCACTTACTACATTGAACAAATACAACTTATCCAGTATAAGAGAAGAATGAGCATGATAGTGAAGAAGTGTAAATGCTTACTTTAGAAGTATCAGTTATTGTAGTAGTTTTCCTCAGTTTGGCGGATGCATCATACACATGAGGCAAATCATCATCGTTTGACTGAGAGCCAGATGATCGATTATTCAAAGCTTTACGTAAACGTTCCATTGTTTTCAATGCATTCTCTTCAATTCGTGCTTGACGTATATTGGATGCGATCAATGGATCAGTGAGAAGTCGTTCAATCAAAGAACTATTAGAATTATTTGTATGATTATCATTTATAATTTGTTCCTTCGGAAAATAATAATGAAAATAAAACGCTTGATTTCAATGATTGTTAAAATAGTAGATAGCATAGTGATCCCCTTCTGTTTTATTTTTCATTGATTACATTCTACATGATCGATCATGATGTTGGTAAATATTCAATACACAGATGCATTAACGATTAATACTTTTAGATACAACTATATGAAATACCTACAACAGTAAAGTTGTATTGAACTAATTTATGTAATTGAAGAAGTAGTGATAGAGAGTGAAGCAGCTGAGCGTGTTGACCGCTTCACTTATCTCGAGAGTCTTATCAGTACTGATGGCCTGGTGACTGACGAAATCTCAGCACGGATACAGAAGGCTCGATTGGCTTTTACCAACCTGCGTCACTTATGGCGTAGGCGAGATATCCGTTTGCTGACTAAAGGACGAGTGTACTGCGCACCAGTTTGCTTCGTTCTCATATATCTCTGTGAAACATGGCCAGTGAGAGTAGAAGATATTCGTAGGTTACTGGTTTACGATCACAGGTGTCTTCGAAGCATTGCTCGTATATCGACATCCTTATAAGCAATACTGTTATTAGGAAACGGGTGGTAGGTAAGGATAGCAGATCAATAGGTGAAGTAGTGAAACTTCATCAGTTGAGGTGGTTGAGACATGTGTTACGAATGCCCAATCACTGACTACCTCGTCGACCTATGTTTTGCAGTGTAGGAGTAGGTTGGAAGAAAGCTAGGGGCGGCCAAACCAAAACATGGCTGAAATCCATGAATTCACTGACAACTGTAATGATTCACGTTGGTAGATGTAGAATATCTGGTTGGGGTCCATGATACAATAGCAATCGATGGTTAGACACTTTGAATGACATGGCTCAAAATCGTTCGCAATGGCGCCGGTGCATTCATTCTTTGTGTTCTCTCAAGTCATAACCTTTAGAGTTCCTCATCACCTTTATCTTTTTCTTTTAAGTTTATTTCACTAATTCTACTTCTTGAATAATATCGTTGAACCCTAAAATTTCCGATTACTTCTAATACTTTTACTACCTCTACTACTATGAGATTTGAAGTGACAATTGCATCTTTGTGTTAATGTGGTACGGCAACTTGAACTGATGTACGTACGTACGAAGTTCTGTGTTGTTGTTGACTGACTGACTATATAATTAAAACTTAATGCGAATCGAAGATTTAGTGTCCAACTTTCAACTACATCACATGTTGGAATCCACAAAGAAAACTTGTAATTCACAATTGAATGTTTTTTTGGAGTTGTGGAGTATTCAGCACTAGAAGATTTTTAACTAGCTATTTCACACTAACTAAGTGTTTGTCACTGAATTTTGAAACCGATCCCTGGTGCGACTTTTATCGGTATGCCCTTCTGAATAATTCTGTACTAAGGAGAAGCAAGTGCTCAAACTTTCACTTATGCCGCAACCAAGACTTTATTTTGTGACAAATACAATTTACATATTTATTACACTAATGGTGAAGTAAATTTAGTTTTAAGTAAACGAGCCTACTACAAAAAATTATGACAGCGTATAATTCCGTGTATGTAAATAGATTTTTGTAAACAGGTATAAATGTTCTCGTCGGCAAACAATAAGAAACAATCAGAAATGAAAAAAATACATGTTGCATAAAATCAACAGTGTACACATAACTTACCGATTGGTTTGCATTGTTCTGTTCAGAAGATCCTAAACAATTATTTGCGAAAACAGACAAACAACAAAATGGAGAATGTGAATAATAAGTTAAGCAATAAACATTAAAACGATCAATAAACTACTCTAAGGAAAATGTTTTTGTTATTTTATGCATATACGGATAAATAAAATTATACTGAAGATAGTTAAAAACAGCCGACGGAAAAATATGAATCTAAGTTTCCTAACAGTTAGCACTTATCAACAACTGGAACTGGAAACTTGAGCAAATGGAAACTCTAGAGACTTGAAGCCTACCTCGTAGACATTATCGATGAACAGTTAACGCATAGCATAATGGGTGATTGAAATAAAAACCTGTTTTCCAATGGACTTTCTAGTCATTAAGACATACGAGAATGGAGTATCAGATGGCAGAAGACGAACCCCTATCACTCATGGATAACGTCCCTGACCATGATAATGAGTGATTCCGATTCAGATCTCACAGACACACTAATATAATGAAACGATCAAAAGTAGCTGAGGTTATTTGACGACCATCAGAAAATGTCCTAAAGGATGAATACGTATCAGTGATCAAGAGATAGAGTCCTTCTCTGAAGAGTTGGGGTACATACACATGTATAGACGATTATTTATACATATTATTATGTTTCACTCCTGACTTATCGATCACGTAACGAGTTATGGGGGTGACGCTGTTTTACGTTCAGATTTCAGATGCCACTTATTATAACACACACACCTTCAGTACACAAGCTAGCACGTACGCGCCGAGCTAATAACAGCACACAAATGTCATGATCTGGTTCACAGTATGGAAAACCCAGTCTCCCTCTTGTTATGCACTCGTATGACTACAGATACATAGCTACTACCACAGAAGTCCCACCCACAGCCTTCTCGAGGTAGGAGTATTGTTTAAGAAATGGAAATGACGAAAATCGAAAATCCGGCACCTAATATCGGTTGGTTGGTACAAAGAGTGCAGTTAAGCAACTTAAATAATTCTGATTCCAAAACAGCTACCATAGAATCGCATCCCATAACGTTATCCCACTGTCTTGAGTGTTTGAAAGCTAGGCCAAAGGTTAGTGGAGTCGCTCCCTAAGAAAACCACCGGCTTCGGTTCGGGTACGCGGCCAGCATCACAGATCACAATAAAATTCAATGATTTGTGTGGTGCATATATATTTTGGTGCCCTTTAAATCAATATCTATGTGCTTTAGTAAACTAACAAACAAATAAATCAACTATTGAATATCAAATAGAAAGTAACCAACTACCAAGGTTTAACGTCGCTCGGCTTTGACGCAAAAACACTAATATATAATTAAGGTGATATAGTCGAATCATTTAGACTGGTACCTACATTGTAACTCGATCGACAAAATCCGATCAGCACTAACACACTAAATATACACGATATCATAATATGAGATTACATAGAAAGAAATAGTTTTCGTTTTCTGTGAAGAATTTTTTTATGATTATGTTTCTTTTTGTAATAAAACCAAATATTTAGTCTGAAATATAGCAAGCGGGATATATCAATAATTCTACAAAATACACACGAATAAATAACTATTGATCACTGTTTAGTAACGAATGTCACGTTTACTCGCGTCATTTAGCCCTCATCAAATTCTATTATTCAGGTTGCAATGTAGCCAAATTAATCACCACACATTCAAACAACTGCTAATATCTCACTCTTATAAGAGGTTATCTAATTCCCAAACGGTACATTAGTAACGTTTCAGACTGAAACTGGGTGATACAAGGTCAAATTCACTGTGCAGCTTTAGTCTTTTCAAAATTCCAGGTACAACTTGCTAATGAATGCCAACTAGAATGGTAAAGCATCTTGTCAACTACCTCCAACCATCCGATATCAAAGCAACCAGTGAACTACATTTACCTTCTATTTTGAAATAAACATTTGTCCATTCAGCACGTTGATTGACCAGATCAAAAATCACATCAACACAATCCAATCCAATCAATTCAAATAACTTTAGAGAGAATACAACAAAAGAGCATCGGGATGGAGCGTTATCATAAGAAAAGATATGCAAATATAAATTGAAGACAACAGATCAGAATTATCAACTTATATAAATTTACTTGTTAGATTCATTTGTTAACTAGGATAATGCCAGAGTGTTCGAACCGAAACAAGTGGTTTTCTCAGGAGACTGGTTTTGAACCTTTTAACCTAGAGGTTCAGCGCATAATGCAGTGAAACGATGTCAGGAGATGAAATCGCATAATAGCTGGTGATAAAAATAGGCTCATACGTTAATCGGCACCGTAGGATCACGCAGCCCATTTAAACCATTGGTTTGAAGCAAGAGTTTTAAAATTGTTTTGGGCAGACCCTCCTTATCCACTACTAACCCGATCTGAACCCCTGAGGTTACTTTTTCATTATCTTACTTTCGTGAACATCTTCGATGGAGGACAGGACTTCTCTGGCAGAGACTATAAACAAACGTATGGCCGTACTAGAGTACGTTGAGAAGAATAAACTCTTCATCCCTAGTCATACCACACCATAGGAAGCTAGAGATTTATAGTAATCAACTACTAACCATAATACTTTTTCGTGAAGCTTGATAACACTGCTCAAATGATGATACAAAAGTAGATGAATAGTAATCTCAAACATTTTAGCAACACTCAACATGAAACAATCATGAGCCATATTATACAACATCTCCGACCGTTTATTTTGATAATCACATAAACCTAAACCAAGTAATCTGAATTTAAGAACGATTATCAGTCACTTTGTGAACTGATATCAATATTCTCGTTTGCCTACCCCTGTTTCTCTCAACTTACGCTTACACCATCAAACATTAATCACCCGGATATGTGATAGTCGAACATACGTAATACATGTCCCAACCACTTTAGTTGACAAAAGGTGCTCATCTCATCATATCAGCTGATTTTCATTAGAAATATGAATAATATTCTATGGAAATTTTATTAGAATAGATACACTTGATGGTGTATAAAAACCTGCTAACCTATTATTTTTAATTTACAAAACAAAAGTCAAGCATTAACTTGATTTTTATGGGGTTTGTATTTTTGTTGTTGTTGTTGTTTTAACATTAAGGAGTAAAAGTGACCCATCTTTTTATTGATCTGTATAACTCGATAAAATTGCCTCAGCATAGCCATTTAACTACAAATATTTTTTTTAGAGAATCGCATAGCGGATGGCAGAAGCCAGTAGTTATCTAAACTCAATAGATAACACATTAGGTGTTTGTAGCGAAAAGTCCTGGAGTTTAAGTCACCGACTGACTGACTGACTGAAGCATAAACATTTGAGTGCTGGTGTGGTTATGAATCTAGCTCACAAGTTTCACGCGTAGGATAAAATGCACATTTTAGATTCCACTGTTAGTTATGTTTAATTAATTTTCATTGATATATTTGCCCTATTTACCTCTTCTTGTACTTGATCATTTGATTTGGATGAAGTTAAAATATCAAAAATCATTTGAATAAATTGTTCTTTTGTAATATCTAACTGTTTAGCTTTACATGATAATCGTTCTGTTAAATTGATTAAATTAGTTGCTTGTAACGAGGATGTAGTAGGAGTGAGAGTGGAAGATGAGGTTTCCGGTTGATTGGGATTACGTTTTCGATCTTGTTCAATGAGTGGAGTAAGAAGAAGTCGTCTGAAATAGGAGAGAAGAAAAAAAAAGAGTTATGGTATAATTTAGCAAACTCTATTCTATGTAGGTAATTCCTAGAGTTCCGGTGAGAATGATGTTCAACAACATCAGAAATGAGCTAGTCTTACTAGCCAATGGCAGTAAATGATGGTTGAGTAATATCGCGAATCAAGTGAAATTGGAAATGTCAACAAACGGACGTTGGCTCAGTAGCATAAATGTTATGCATTAGTTCAAGGACCTAAAAATCCGAGGTCCAATCTACGGTGGAGTCACGATTACACACTGTCGAGTTCCATAGTAAAGCGATACAGTTGTCCGGTGTTGTTTATTTTCGACAGAGTCAATAATGTAAACTATGGAATGCGAGAACACTCCACATAAGTTTAACTTAAACGTACTTAGACAAAAAAAAACGATGTACAAGTTAGACGGTTACTCGCTGATAAGTTATTCATAAATTTGATGCGACATAGTAGCCCAATACAGGATTTGCACAATTTGCATTGAGTTAGATGTACTTTTTTTGAAACGCTACTCAAAATAAAGTTTGATGGCATTTGAAATTGAAACAAGGTAAGTGAAAGTCAAGTGTTTTAGCTACTAAGTCCGAATTAAAAACAGATATTCATATTTGCAGAATGATATGATTTTGTCATTTCTATAAATTTTATTCATAACAAAGCTTGCTCATATCTCTAAATTAGCAGGAAATATTATGATGAATCGTTTATTAAGCATTAATTATTGAATGTGCGTAGATTATGTGGCTCATTTTATTTCGCGGCTTAATTGACATGAGCGACAGAAACTTAAAACATTGATCAAGACACTTACAACCAACTCTCATACTCTGGTTAGAACAACTCATATACATGGAATAGATATGGTCGATCACAACCACATAAAATAAACTATATGGATGTATGTGATAAACAGGTAGTGTTGTAGCATTAAAGATATTTTATGAAAATACAGAGCTATTACGAAGTTTATATCTAAAATTGTCATGAAAAAACGTAAACTTCAATTGTAGTGAGTGAAATAAATGGGTTGGTCTAGAATAGTTGAAAATAAGTATCACTATACGGCCTTGGAGGCTTGAATTTCACAATAAACATAACCGATAGATCTTAGTTAAACAACTACTGAGAACTAGGAGGTCACGGATATGTTTTGTCCTAGTATAGGACTCCGTGGCAGTGTTGATTCAAGACTCCATTATTGGGAATCAAACTCGAGACCATCGATGGCATGAACGAGCGCTTAATCTCTAGAGCATGAAATAAGTACCCAGAGGTTTACATGTTTAACCTCAGTCATTTCGTAATATTGTGCAAAAATCTAGTGGGCAAATGCCTCACTCACGAAATGGTTACTGCTTCTCACTAAAATACTCCGACAGGATCAAGGATATGTAGTGGCGAGTCCCGTACTAGTAAAACAGCTATACAGTGGTTATTTAGCAGGGATTAGTTTATGATGCTAAGTGAACTCACCACTCTATCTCAGTACAATGGAGTAGTTGAAAAACACATCTTACACATTCAGAGTAAAAAATGAAATATCGAATTGTTAACTGTTCTTAATACGCGGAGCACAAACTTTTTAACAATATATTTTACAATAAACTCGTGTCACTATGTGACGCATATCAAAAATGGATAGTCAACAACACAGGTAAAAAACTTTAAGATATTGGATGCAGGATATCAAAATGAAACTCATTTTCAATTAACACAATTACCAGGTACCTGAACCAAACTCTAAGTACGAGAAATGATGACGCTACCCGGTTGCTCGAACCTGGGACTCAGTGGTAGTAAGTCGAACACCTTGGTCGTTAAGCAAATGCTCCACAAAGTGAGCATTAAGAACAATAATTTCTGATTCTTAATTATTTTTCTCACCTTAATGGATCAGTTATTTCAGCATCACGAAAATTGTTTGTTTTTGTTGCCTCAACATCGCTTTTTTCCACATTATGAACCACTGAGGATTTTTTATATGTAGTATTCTTCATGATAATCTTCTTGTGTTTATGAGTATTAGTCACAGATTTTGTGATATACTCCTCATTTTGATAAACCACACGACAATGGCGGAAAAGTTGATTAAACTCATCTTGGTTGCTCATTTTAAACGGATGAAATGTTAATATCCCACCTAGACATTTGCATACATCTGTCCAAGCAGTATCAACATTAACAGCACCCGAACCACCAATTTTATTCAGTATTTTTGGTTTTAAGTTTTTGACAGAACAATGACGAGGTATGTCCACTAAAGAAACACCTCGATTTGATAATTCCATCAACTGTTCACCCATATCTCCTAACAAAATGAACATAGCACATGTACCAAGCTCTTTGATATTCACTGAATCTTTTCCAACCAGTTGTAAACAGGATTCTCTGAAACGATCAATGCGACTATCGAGCTCAGATTTGAGAGAAGTTGTGGAATAATTAGGAGGTAATAACTCATGGAACTTCTCCCGAATACTTTTACCCTTTATACATTTCAAATCAGCATAATTTCGTTCTTCCAGAAAATTTGAAAAATCCCTGCTAGAACAAGGTTGGATAGAACATTCATCTGAATTGTTATTAGATCCCACATTAACCATTAATCAGGTGGTATTGTAAAACTAAAAAACAGAAACATAAAAGGTATTAGGAAAGATTGAAAATTACATCTACCATGTAAATTGATAGAGCATTCTCTAAAATTTTCCATTCACTGAAACGTTTTGCCTACTTGAAGTACAAGAGTAAACTAATGACCTCGTGAAATATAAACTGTTAACTTTACTCATAGAAAAGTATGCTTAATACATCAGGATAATATCTCAAGGTCAAACAGAAGTCAAAATGTTGAGTACTTACTAAACTAAGTTATTTAACAATACTAGTGTAAAAATACAATTGAAGAAAGAAGTTTCTCCAATTGTTTTATTGAAAAGAACTAAACGGGAGGTTACAAGCTCTTAAATGCAATGATTTTAGATTTTTGAACTAAATAATATAGAACTAAGTTGATGGGAAGATCTAGTGAATGGCTAACGTACATTAAATGTTTGGAATAAGGATGTATACATAGTCAAATTCATAATTAGTGAGGAATATTTTATCATAACAATATCATTTTTATTATCAAAGGTTGATCTTGGTTCAACGACTAATGAGAGCCAGAAAGTAATGGATAACTGTTACGTCCTCAATAATGTGCGTCTAAGACCTCAACTGGGATAAAATCTAGAAGCTTAAGTCTAAAGACAAAGAACTTTCAAATTAGTTGAGGTTTTCCCCAAGAATATGATAATAAAACAATATACGATCATTGAGGTAAGAAAAACGGCTATTAAAATAATTGTCCTAGATGCATCAACAACTTAAAGTATAGTTTCAGTGAAATAAGATGGATTACAATCTATACTGTGGTATTTTCCAAGGGCAATATAAAGGAAACAATTATATGCTTATTTAAATCTACATTAGACTTAGCTCAGAAAAGGCTGGATAAACTATTATCAGTCTGTTTAACTAAAGCTTTGAAACAAGAAGTCAAAGAAAACACAGCCACTTCAAATGATAATTTATCGACACCGAAATAATATAATTTCCAATACGGATCTTTCTAATTAATCAGCTTCATTGAACAAGGAATGGACAATTGCTTAAGATATTTTATAAAATGTCCAATAAAATCATTTCCACTAGCTTAAATCAGAATTTTTGCTAACTATCCCAGTTAAAGGTTATCCCTAAGCTCACTAAGCCTGGGATTACAAACGCTAAGCTTGCTTGCGAATTCCCACAGAATAAGATACAAAATAAGGATAGACGGAGTATTACTACAAGGACTTGCTGAAAACTTTCCTAAGAACTGTCCAAGATACTTGCTTAATGTTATCTACTTCAGTTACAAATGTAGCAAACATCTGGGATAAAATGCACGCACAAAAGCCAGGACAGCATAACTGTATCGTGGACCAACTTATCTCTTCAACAGCATTTCAGAACGTGAGGACATTTTGACTATGAAAACTCCACTCCAGAAACATAAACCCACGTAAGCCTTAGTCTTTGGTAGACTTGCATCTAGCCAGAAGGCACTTTATGTGTTGGAGTAGTGTTAGAAGTCAGTTAGTCAGTTACAAAGTAGAACTTCGTACGTTTCTACATACGTCCAAGTTGCCATACCACATTAGCACAAGGAGATGGAATCGTCAATTTCAAATCCAATAATAGTAGGGACAGTAGCAGTATTAGTGATTATCGAAAAGAGAATAGATCAAAGATATGGTTCGGGAAGTATACCCAGTGAAATACTCCTTGAATCATATCTTCGATTCTTTAGAAGTGGATAAGGCAATCAAGAAAAAAGGATGAGAAAGTGGATCAAAAGGGAAAGCCAGAGAGATTTGACAAAGACTTTTAAGGCTATGAACTGAAAGTGGGATAACTATTTGTGACGCACTGAAGGGATGAAGGAAGCCGAAACGGACGCTGTGTTCCAACTGATTTCCTGGTTGTCAAAATCTTAACTAGAAACTTCACCAATAGTTTAGTGAGTGTGAACTTGGTAAATGGTCATGAATCAGTTTTTCACAGACATACATGTTCTCGCCATCGATTCACATTTGTGTACTGATGATAAAAGGCCCGCGGAGTGTTAGCTGTTTTCTAGTATAACCTGTACTCCACAGGTATTTTGTTGATCCTCGGCTTTTGTACTCGCCTGCTATGTCCTCCAAATTGTCTTGATTTGGTAGGAAGGAAAAGATGGTATACCAGGTCCAAAACCACTTTAGACATTAAAATTAAATCATCTCTTAATCTACGGTCGGGTAAAGTAAAGAGTTGTAGCTTTTATAGCCTTGAAGTTCTGGAATTTTAAAGGTAGCTGCCGTTTGTACTTTCTCAAGATATCCAAGTCACCTCCCAAACAGGGGCTTACAACCCAAACGCAATTTTCAAGCGTCGATCTTACTAAGGTTGTGCACACTGCCGTGAACATACTGGTATCCACCTTAATAAATGTCCGTCCAAAAGCCTACATGTTCCAAACACCTGAGCTGCAACCCATAGATGGTCGGTCGTGATCTTGAGATAGTAGCTTACTAACAACCCAAGATCACTGTTTTCTCTTCCTTATATCCAATAAATCAGAGTTAGTATAAACCAATAAATTCCTTTGATACCTTAAAGCTGCTCAAGGTATAAATGGTTGAGTCTATGTTTCTAGTACACCATGCAAAATAGAAAGTAACAATGTTGCTTCCCGGATGCAATACCATCATTATCATAGTGTTACAACACGAGATTAAGGTAACTCACCTACAAAACCAGCCGCGCTTATATATCCAACATCCAATATCTTTTTCTCGAGCTAGTATTAATTAGTCTATTTATTTGCGCTTGAATCTTGTTATTTTTGTACGGTTCCAGCAGTTTGATAGTATACGATTGGGGTCTAGCCACTCGACTGTCTAATTCTAGTCAGTTAGCAGTTGTTTGTGAGTTTGTATGTCCCGTGATTTGAATGAATACGTTTGCTTCAGGGCAGTAGGATTTCTGGATACCAGCAGCTGTTACATTACCAGGCTGGAGATCAGTTAGTTGCAATGTGGAGCATAATAAGGAGAAATTTCTAATGCTAATGGGAAGAATATTTCAGAACTAAGTAAATAAATGGTTAATTTATTTTATTAATTGGTAGGGGAAGATTGTGCGAGAGGGTCGAGAATTTGACTGCTCTTAAGGAGTGTAAGGTGTGAAGACAGTCCATTTTGCTATACTGGGCCTCAAGTTTCTGGGTATGTCCCCCATGTTTTGTCTTTGAAGTGGGATTGAGTAAGTACTTCGGGGAATGCACAGGACAGTTAGTGAATCTGTGAATCATTAGAACGTCACATCTAAGACGCCTATACTCCATTGTATGAAAACCCGATGACTTCAGGCACTCTTCAAAAGGTTCGAACTGGCCAAGAATTGCTCCTTAAAGTGATAATTGCAAGGTTTGCTTGAAAGGCCTTTTTGTTACTGTTGGCGTGTGACTATATATAGAGCACCAAGAATCCTAGATCATTTAGAACTTACTTAATTACTTACGCCAGTTACCCCCAATGGAGCATAGGCCGCCCACCAGTTTTCTCCAACCAACTCTGTCCTGGGCTTCCGTCTCCAGTTCTGTCCAATGTTTGTTTATTCCGCACATATATTTCTCTATTTCTCGGTGTAATGTGTTCCTTGGCCTTCCTCTTGTCCTATCGCCTTGAGGGTTCCGTGTAAGGGCTTGTATCGTGACGCAGTTAGGTGCTTTTCGTAGAGCGTCCAATTAGCTTCCACCGCTTCTTCCTGATTTTCTCCTCCACTGGAATCTCGTTTGTTCTCTCCCACAGTAAGTTGTTGCTGATAGTGTCTGGCCAACGAATACGAAGTATTTTGCGGAGACAACTGTTAATAAACACTTGAATCTTCTGGATGATGGCATTCGTAGTTCTCCAAGTTCCCGCTCCATACAGTAGAACTGTCTTGACATTTGTACTGAAAATACTGATTTTGGTTTTGGTTGAAAGTTGTTTGGAGTTCCAGATATTTTTCAACTGTAGAAATGCAGCCCTTGCTTAGCCAATCCGTGACCTCACGCCCGCATCGGATCCACCTTGGTTGTCGATGATGCTGCCCAGATATGTAAAGGTGTTAACGTCCTCCAAGGCATCTGCGTCAAGAGTGATTTGGTTGGTGCATGTTGTGTTGCATCGGAGAATTTCGCTTTTTCCTTTATGTATGTTGAGACCTACTGCTGCAGAGGCTGCTGCTACACTGGTCGTCTTCTCTTGCATTTGTTGTTGCGTATGCGATAGAAGAGCCAGGTCATCTGCGAAGTCCAGGTCGTCCAGCTGCGTCCCAACTGTCCAGTTGATACCGTGCTTCCCTCCAGATGTTGACGTTTTCATAATCCAGTCGATCACCAGGAGAAAGAGAAAGGGTGAGAGTAAGCAACCTTGTCTGACACTGATCTTCACCTCAAACGAGTTTGTCAGCTGACCTCCATGCACGATTTTGCAGTTGAATCCATAATAAGAATTCCGTATGATGTTAAATATTTAATCAGGCACACCGTAGTTTCGAAGAAGCCTCCACAGTGTTTTCCTATCTACGCTATCAAATACTTTCTCGTAGTCGATGAAGTTGATGTAGAGTGGTGAGTTCCATTCAATTGATTGTTCCACAATGATCCGTAATGTAGCAATTTGGTCAGTACACGATCGATCCTTACGAAATCCAGCCTGTTGATCTCGAAGTTGGGCGTCTACGAAGTCCTTCATTCTGTTTAACAATACCCTGTTGAAGACTTTGCCTGGTATTGAAAGATGAGTGATGCCCTTGTAGTTCTCACACTTGCTCAGATCACCTTTCTTTGGTATTTCGATCAGGTATCCTTCTTTCCAATCTGATGGTACTTGTTCCTCATCCCAAATCTTCTTGAAGAGGATGTGAAATATTTTCGCAGTTGCTTCTACATTTGCTTTCATTGCCTCTGCTGGAATGTTGTCTGGTCCTGCTGATTTGCTGATCTTGATTTGTCTGATGGCCATACTGATCTCCTCAATCGTAGGTG